TTGGCTGACGTGTTTTGAGGCTGTGCCTCTTCCTTAGGGCTCTGATTGGGCCACGCTGCATTTCTTGTGATTTGATTTTATTCCTTTGTGAGTATTTACCTTTTTATCAATAAATCTCGTTTTTAAAGGTAATGCACTAGGCCCGTGCGCCCTCTTTTTGTTTCTTCATATACAGTTCTTTTCGGATTTCCCTGGTCCGTTGAGGGCAGCAAAGCTTGCATTCCTTCTATGCTCCATGTGGGGATACAGACATAATGAATTCCACTGCCCAGCGCAGACGTTCAGGCATTCGGTTGCTTTTTTTTCTTCCTATCAGACATAGCCAGCACGGTGTGAAAGGGGCCCAAGGCAGAGCGTAAAGCCCCAGGTTGTTGTTTCTGTATAGAGAAAGCTGTGTTTTTCTCTGGGTTTCGTATTTGGGTTGCCACCTCATCCCTTTAAAACCGAACACATATTGATTACACAGGTTCTGTGGCTGATTAATGTGCTAAGTAAACTCGGTGCCTTATCTGCAATACATTTGCCTCAGAACCTGTGTAATTAATGTGTTCGGTTTTAAAGGGAACCCAATTTTGTAGTCCCACATGAAGGCTTGGAGTCTGAAGGTTCCAAAGTGTCTTGGGCAGCATGGAACCTTCAATCCTGTGTCCAGTTCTTACTAGGGGCCCGCTGCCTGTGTGAACAAACAGGTGTGCATCCTTATTTTAAGCTTGATCAGAGCTACTTTAATTGTTCCCATTCTGAAGACAGAACGGACCTTTCCTAGAGATAAGAGAGCTTCACCTTAGGAGACATGCGTGAGCTGTGTGCATTCACTTTTGGAAAGAAGATTGTGTGAGGAGATGACAGGACAGGACAGGACAGGACAGGACAGGACAGGACAGGCAAAGGCCTGAGGATTGCAGTAGAATTCCAGTCAATAGCTAACTAAAGCTAAACCTGCTCCCACCCCCAACTAAATCTAATCTAACCAACCCTGTAAAGAAAAGGATTGCTATACCTACCTATGCTGAAGCAGCTCAGGTCCACTCTACAGTGGTGGCTTCTGTGTGAGGAGGTAAAGCCAGCAATGGCTGAAAATGTCTGGGAGATGATATCACTAGAGTTGCCACCTCTTCCCTTTAAAACCAGACACATAGGGGTTTATTTACTAAAGCTGGAGAGTCCAAAATCAGACTCCCTTCTGCATAGAAACCAATCAGCTTCTAACCTCAGCTTGTTCAATGAAGCTTTGGCAATGAAACCTGGAAGCTGATTGGTTTCTATGCAGAAGGGAGTCTGATTTTGGACTCTCCAGCTTTAGTAAATAAACCCCATAGTGTTTACACAGGTTCTGGGGATGATTAAGGTGTTAATTAAACTAACCTAGTGCCTTATATGCATTAAATTTGCCTCAGAACCTGTGTCATTATTTTGTGTTTGGTTTTAATCCTCATGCACACGGGACATTTTGAGGATGCTGTTAACGTTAGCTGTGTAAATTCACGTTAAAAACATGAGTTTTTCAGCGCTGGCGGTTTCCTGCGTTTTTAGCAATTTTTTTACCCTCCCAAAAATTGGGGGGAGTAAAAAAAAAAGGCCAAAACGCCAGTTTGCGGCGTTTTGCCACGTGTTTTCACTGTGAGAGCGTTTTTACCGCTAAAAAAACCCTCTAAAAACCCACTAGTCCTGGTTTTTTTTTTCAAGCCAAAAAACGTTGAATACAGTCTGTGTGCATGGACACATAGGATAACATGCTGGGGGATTTACTGGCTGTAGAAAAAACCATCAAAAGCCAAAAACAGGCGCTGTAAAAAACGTCAAGTGTGCATGAGGACTTAAAGGGATGAGGCGGCAACCCTAGACGTCACCTATAGACTTATGCCGTTGTCTTCTACTCAGAAGCCACCGCTGTCATCTGATACTGGGAACAGACCAAAGCGGCTTCAGAGTATACACATCCTTACATTGTTAGATAGAATAGGATTAGAATTGGGGGTGGGAAAAGGTTTAGCCTTAAGATCAGAAAATCATATGAAAAATGCCACTTTCAAAGTGATTGCACAATAATCTGATTGTTAATACACAGCAATCGTCCGATACACGCACAAAAATTTTTGTTGTATAATAGCAGTTCGGACAGTTTTAACGGTACAGATGTCGTCCAAAAATACAATACAAATACATTACAACACATGACATCACTTCCAAATTTTTATTCTGTCCTACAAGAATTTATGTAACTTTAGTAACCTCTTTTCGATATGAGACTAGCATGCAAAAAACCACAAAAAACGGATGATCATTTGTCTGATATTCTCATCGTGTATACGGGGCTTAAGTTAGCTTTTGATTGGAATTCCACTTTAAAGCCAGAGGAGCTGTGTGCGTTGAAGAGTTTGACGTAGTTGAGTGTTTAGGAGAGCTTAAGGTAAAGTAGTAGCTGTGTGCGTTTTGTCTGAGGGACCAGTACTAATAGCAGAAGTGCTGCTGAAGTGTAGCCAGGTGGGCTAGCATTTTCTGTTACCTGTTTTTGCTTTGTGAAGTTGAAACCCCTGTGTGGGCAACTTTGTAAAGAACTTTACTTTTCATTTTAATAAAAGCGGGTTGACATAACCCAGTTTGGACTAGCATGGACGCCACTAAGAATGCATCTGCCACACAAGCCCAAGGTTAAAGTGAACCAGACAGCTCTCATGTCCAAAACAAAAGCTTGCTTTTTTTTTTTGGGTGTAGAAACCCCATCATCTTTTTGTTTAAAAACATTTTTTTTTAACCACTTGCCCTCCAGAAGACTTACCCCCTTCATGACCAGCCAATTTTTTCCTATACAGGGTTGTGTTACTTTAACTGACATGGTAATGGAATGCTGTAAATAAACAAAATTTATGTAATTTTTTTTCCCACAAATAGAGCGTTCTTTTGGTGGTATTTGATCACCACTGGGTTTTGTTTTTTTTTTGTACTATAAACAAAAATGACTGCCAATTTTGAAAAAAAAAAAAAAAAATTTTTTACTTTCTGCTATAAAACATATCCAATAAAAAAACAGGCAATAGGTATTTCTCACACAGACTTGCATCCAAAGACGGTGAACAGTCCATGAACTTGGTTTTGTTATTTAATTAGGGAGTTTCAGCTTGGAAGGGGTAATAGGAATTATGGGATGTCCAATTTTGCTTGAAATAAGGGGAACATTTCCCTTCTATGTACAAATTAGATCCTAGACTGTTCTTTCTTAAAAGCCGTGAGTCATTGCAGATCAGTAGCAGCTGCCCTTTATGGGTGAGGAACTAGCTGCCCCTCAATAATCCGCTTTACTTCTCATAGCTACATGCAGAGATGACTTCTCTATCCCCTGCGGTGCTGCTCCCAGCTCCACAGCTTGCAGGCACTAACAGCCATTCTGGCTTTTCGGAAGATCTCCCGCATCAAGGATAAAGTATTTAGCTCGATGCTGTCCTTGGAAAGCTTGCTACGTGTGGCAGTCTTTACCTTTGTAGATCCCAAAATGTGCTGTTGTACTCACACTTTGGTCCCTGCTGTGCCAGGTCTGATCCCATCTGCGCCTCTCTGCAGAATTTATCCTCCTGAGCCAGCCCAAACATCCCCCCCAGACCTGGGGGACCCCTCCCATGCACTGACAGTCTCCTCAGCACTACATCTTCACTCAACTCCCCTGTTAGCCTGACTCTCCCATATTTATAGGCCAGTCCACCACTCTACCAGGGCCTCCAAACCTGGGATTGGCTGGACCTCCATGAATATGCAGATTAGGCCTCCACCCCTCCTTCTTACTGACTTCTGGAATATTCCATAGTCCTCCAGAGTCAGGAGGAGCCAATAGAGCCACAACCTGTAAAGTCATTCAGCTGACCTGCAATAACCCATGCTTAATCACATGACTCAATTACCATGAGTCACACACAATGATTTTACCTGTCATTCACTACACTATTCTAGTAGCACACTAGAGGGTGCTACATAAAAAAATCAAATTTCTTCATAAATTTAGGCTACATATTTATGGTAAAAAAATCCCAATACGCATATATTGATTTGTTTGCCCAAATCATATAGCATCTACAAACTATGGCATATGTACTGGAATTTTTATTTATTTGTTTATGCTAATAATGGCGGCGATCAGCGACTAATTTCTTTGCAGGGACACAAGATCAATCACTTCTCCCCGCGTGCATGCCCCTAGGCGGAACTGCATAATCACCTTTATATATGTGGAGGGCCACCCTGTAGCAGTTATCTGCAATGGGGCAGTCCTAAAGTGGTAATTTAGTATTTTATTGCTGTGGTTTTTAGTGACCCCAAAAGACGTATCCTTCTATGTGGGGCAAAACACAGTGAAAATGCTGCTGAGCACCGCCATCTTGTTTGTGATGTAAGTGGTGCCCATCATCTTTTGAACCTCAACCCCTCTGCTGCTGATGTGTGATCCGGCGCATGCATGCCAACAAAAACTGCCTCTTGAGCAAAATCCCACTGCAGACAGCATCAGTTTCTATTAGAACAGAGAAAAAGTGACCATGAAGCAACAGACAGATGGTAACATGGGGCAGGGAGGGATGTCATAGGGGACGTAAAGGACAGAACACTGTATTCCAACATTTCCCAGAAGTGTCATTTTATTGGTTATATTGGCATAGAGGCAATAGGTAGGCACAAACTTGGCTTTTTGAAAAGGTAAATGCATGAAAAGTCTTTTTGAATCATTGCAGATATTTTTTAGCATGATGATAAATATAAGGGATTCATCACTTCAAGAGAAAAAGTGTTCTGTTTCAGAAGGAAATATCATGGTGGTAACAGATGGTCTGTGGCTTTATGTAGACAATAAAAAAAAAAAAAAAACATTTAGAGCAGAGACCTGTTCATGTATGGTGAGCCTTGGACTAAAATGATTTGGCTTATGCTTTTTCCTTGCATTTCTCAGCATGCCGAGCACCGTCTCTGTGGATCCCCTCCATAGCGTGGCTGTGGCAGGGGGCACCCATGGCAATGAGATGTCAGGTGTCTTCCTGGTGAAACACTGGCTCAAAGATTCTTCACCTCTGGTAAGGGACACGTTCAGCGCCGTACCTCTTCTGTCAAATCCAAAGGCATCTGAGAAAGGAGTGCGCTACTTTGAAAAAGACTTGAATCGATGCTTCACTTTGGGACATCCTATCGTAAGTTATAGTTGTTCTTTGTATAGGTCTATATAATATCTATTATTTTAACACTTGCTGGCATAGTGCTGGATCCATCTAAGGTGGGTGAAGTGAACTTGTCAAGATTTGCAAACTATCAGTATTGCCTACATTTATCAACCTCCAAGCTTCCTTTGCATACAAGGCAATGATTGGGTTTACACTATAAGGCCCCTTTCACATGATCGCTCCGATCGGGTCCGCCTGTCTGTTTTCCAGGTGGACCTGATTGGACCCTCCACTCACCTCTACAGAGCTGCGGATGTAAACAGACCACCTCCAAACCAATCCAATCTGCTAAAAACAAATCGATGGGGATCCAAACCACCCATAGAGCAAAATGTGCTGTTCATGCCCGCTGTGCAGAAGTGAAGTTGACATGAACCTATCATCCTCCCACTCTGCTCTGTGTGGGATCAGCAGACAGATCCTTCACTGCTCAAGCAGATTCTGCCCCGTGTTAAGGGGGCCTAAATGAGGTCTCAGAGTAGATCTAATGTTTCTTTTTTTTCTTTCTAAAATGGCAAGTAAAAAATATGCATAGAGGCACCACCCTAAGAAGTAACATCTGCAATCTAAATCTAGTGCTGCTAGGCTTTTGTCAGCCTGAGCTCTAACTGATAGTTCTGCTTTTCTGCAGAGGTGCATGCTGGGAGTATATTTAAGATGTGTATGAGGATATATATATATATATATATATACTGTATACTGTATTGCCAAAAAAATATTAAGACGCCTGCTTTTGCACACATGTGAACTTTAATTTCCTCCCAGTCTTAGTCCGTAGAGTTCAATATTGAGTTGGCCCACCCTTTGCAGCTATAACAGCTTCAACTCTTCTGGGAAGGCCATCCACAAGGTTTAGGAGGGTGTCTATGGGAAAGTTTGACCATTTTTCCAGAAGCACATTTGTGAAGTCAGGTACTGATGTTGGAAAAGAAGGCCTGGCTCACAGTCTCCACTCTAATTCATCCCAAAGGTGTTCTGTGGGGTTGAGGTCAGGACTCTGTGCAGGCCAGTCAAGTTCCTTCACTCCAAACTCGCTCATCCATGTCTTTATGAACCTTGCTTTGTACACTGGTGCGCAGTCATGTTGGAGCAGGAAGGGGCCATCCCCAAACTCTTCTCACAAAGTTAGGTGCATGAAATTGTGCAAAATGTCTTGGTATGCTGACGCCTTAAGAGTTCCCTTCACTGGAACTAGGGGGCCAAGCCCAACCCCTGAAAAACAACCCCACACCATAATCCCCCCCGTCCACCAAACTTTACACTTGGCACAATGCAGTCAGGCAAGTACCGTTCTCTAGCAAGCAATCTCCAAACCCAGAAACGTTCATCAGGTTGCCAGAGAAGTATGATTGGTCACTCCAGGGAACAAGTCTCCACTGCTCTAGAGTCCAGTGGTGGCATGCTTTACACCACGGCATCTGACACTTTGCATTGCACTTGGTGATGTAAGGCTTGGATGCAGCTGCTCAGCCATGGAAACCCATTCCATGAAGCTCTCTATGCACTGTTGTTGTGCTTATCTGAAGGCCACACCAAGTTTGGAGGTCTTTAGCTATTGACTCTGCAGACAGTTGGCGACTTCTGCGCATGGTGCGCTTCAGCATGCACTGACCACACTCTGTAATACTTGACCTACCACTTCGTGGCTGAGTTGCTGTTGTTCCCAGTTGCTTACACTTTGTGATAATCCCACTAACAGTTGAAAGTGAAATATATAGTAGCCAGGAAATGTCATGGATGGACTTATTGCACAGATGACAACCTATCACGGGACCACGCTTGAATTCACTGTGCTCTCCTGAGAGTGACCCATTCTTTCACAAATGTTTGTAGAAGCAGTCTGTATGCCTAGGTGCTTGGTTTTATACACCTGTGGTCATCGAGGTGATTAGAAAACCTGAATCACATGAATTGGTGGGCTGGCCTAATTATTATTATTATACAGGATTTATTTAGCTCCAACAGTTTGCACAGCGCTTTACAATATAAAGGGAGACAGTACAATTACAATACATTTCAGTACAGAAGAAATAGGACGGCCCTGCTTGTGGAGCTTAGAGTCTAAAGGAAGGAAGTCCCAAATCCCTTTTGCAATATAGTGTATATACAGTGGGGCAAAAAAGTATTTAGTCAGCCACCAATTGTGCAATTTCTCCCACTTAAAAAGATGGGAGAGGCCTGTAATTGGCATCATTACATCATGACAATGATCCCAAACATACCGCCCGGGCAACGAAGCAGTGGCTTCGTAAGAAGCATTTCAAGGTCCTGGAGTGGCCTAGCCAGTCTCCAGATCTCAACCCCATAGAAAACCTTTGGAGGGAGTTGAAAGTCCGTGTTGCCCAGCGACAGCCCAAAAACATCACTGCTCTAGAGGAGATCTGCATGAAGGAATGGGCCAACATACCAGCAACAGTGTGTGCCAACCTTGTGAAGACTTACAGGAAACGTTTGACCTCTGTCATTGCCAACAAAGGATATATAACAAAGTATTGAGATGAACTTTTGATATTGACCAAATACTTATTTTCCACCATAATTTGCAAATAAATTCTTTCCAAATCAGCCAATGTGATTGTCTGGAGTTTTTTTTCTCATTTTGTCTCTCATAGTTGAGGTCTACCTATGGTGCCAATTACAGGCCTCTCTCATCTTTTTAAGTGGGAGAACTTGCACAATTGGTGGCTGACTAAATACTTTTTTGCCCCACTGTACAATTGTGCTCAAAAGTTTGCATACCCTGGCAGAAATCATGACATTTTGGCATTGGCATTGAAAATATGACTAACCATGCCAAAAAAACTGTCTTGTATTTATGAATAGTGATCATATGAAGCCATTTATTGTCACATAGTTGTTTGGCTCCTTTTTAAATCATAATAACAGAAATCACCCAAATGTGTATAAATAGGCAATGCGTTTGTTAGCTCTCACATGGATGCACTGAGCAGAATAGATACTGAGCCATGGAGAGCAGAAAAGAACTGTCAAAAGATCTGCGTAACAAGTTAATGGAACTTTATAAAGATGGAAAGGATATAAAAAGATATCCAAAGCCTTGAATATGCCAATCAGTTCAATCACTTATTAAGAAGTAGGAAATTCAAGGATCTCTTGATACCAAGCCAAGGTTAGGTAGACCAAGAAAGATTGCAGCCACAACTGCCAGAAGAACTGTTCAGGATACAAAGAAAAGCCCACAGGAAACCTCAGGAGAAATACAGGCTGCTGTGGAAAAAGGCAGTGTGGTTGTTTCAAAGAGCACAATACAATGATACTTGAACAAAAATAAGCTGCATAGTGAGGCTTAGAAACTGCATAGAAAGAAGGCTTTACTGCACCAATGCCACAAAAAAAGCTTGGTGAGGCGAGTCCAGGTGTTGTCGGGCATATTGTAACCAGGCTTTTTTGTAGCATTGGCGCAGGGTGTCTGTACCAAGGCCAAACATTCCAGGGGATGGAAACTTTTGATCATGGCCATTTGGGTGATTTCTGTTATTATTACAATTTAAAAATGAGCCAAACAACTATGTAATAACAAATGCTTTATATGATCACTATCCTTCAATAAAAGACAGATTTTTTTTTTTGCATGGTCAGTCATATTTTCTATATCAATGTCAAAATTTCTCAATTCCTGCTAGGGTATGCAAAGTTTTGAGCAAATTGTGTGTATGTATGTATGTATGTATGTATGTATGTGTGTATATATATATATATATATATATATATATATATTACTGTATATAGTGACCAGCCATAACATTATAACCACTAACAGGTGTAGTGAATGACATTGATTATCTTGTTTCAATGGCTTCTGAAAGTGGGTGAGCTATATTAGGCAGCAAGTGAACATGTTGTTGTCCCTGAAGTTGTGTTAAAAGCAGAAAATTTGGGCAAGTGTAAGGATTTGAGCAACTCTGACATGGGCCAAATTGTAATGGCTAGACAACTGGGCCACAGCACCTCCAAAACTGCAAGTGTTGTGGGATGTTCCTGGTCTACAGTTGTCAGAACAGACCAAAAGTGGTCCAAGGAAGAAAAACCAGTGGCCAGGGCTCATTAATGCATGTGGGGAGGGAAGGCTGGCCTGTGTAGTCTGATCCAATTGAAGTACTGTATTTCTGCTGTAGCTCAAATTTCTGAAAAGGTTAATGCTGGTTCCAATAGAAAGGTGTCAGAACACACAGTGCTCTGCAGTTTATTGTGTATGGGGGCTGAGTAGCCGCAGACCAGTCAGGGTGCCCATGCTGACCCGTATCCACAGCCAAAAGTGCATACAATGAGCACATAAGCATCAGAACTAGAAGACGTAGGATTGGAAGAAGGTTGCTTGGACTGATAAATTCAAGAATGGTTTTGAGGAACATGAGGTGATGACTTGGCCTCCAAATTCTCCATATCTCAATCCAATCAAGCACCTGTGGGATGTGCTGGAAAAACCGGTCCAATCCATGGAACCCCCACCTTACAATTTACAGGATCTGTTGTGCACTGCTTTGGTGGCAGATACCACAGCATACCTTCAGAGGTCTAGTGGCATCCATGCCTCAATGAGTTATAGTGGGTATTCGTAATGTTATGACTGATCAGTGTATTTCTATGTAATGTGCTGTAAAACACAAGTTGGTGCAATGCACCAAAACCCATTGTACTAGTGCTGGTGCATTACACTGCACCACAATGCACTGTGGGTGACATTTTTCAATTCTGTTACATAGCAGGCAATACTAAACAGGAGCAGTGAGGCAAACCGAGTGACAGATTTTTATAAGTAATGAATTCATCCTTTGGCTGCGATAAAGTTGTACTTTAATGCATGAATGAAATCTGACCCTGACCACTTCTTAATTCTATGTCATTTAGAGTAGAAATCTGTCTCCTCTTCAATAAGTCTGTCGCACTTGGCTGCCCAGGAATTCAGATGCCTAGGTTACAAACACACTGTAAATATGTGGCAGAGACTTTGCTATGTGAAAGGCAGCCTGTGTTGCTAAATTACATGATAAGTATGTTATACAGTATATAAAAATTGTTTTTTTTAAATATCAGTTTAGGCTCTTTCTGTAGTATCATATTTAACTTATGAAACCTGCCCCCTAGTTCCCCAGACTCACCTGACGATCCATATGAAGTTATGAGAGCGAAGGAGATCAATCGGATGTTTGGCCCCAGAGGGAGTGCAAATGCATATGACATGATGCTGGATCTACACAACACCACCTCTAACATGGGAGTTTGTCTGATTGCTAGTGGAGTCCAAAATGCTGTGGAGATGCATGCCTGCCATTATATACAGGTAATAACTTTGGGTACAACTGGCATGCGGGGATGGGTTGATAGTGGTGCTATAGATCCTGACCAAGAAATCAGGGGAAGAGGCACGTAACATGTTATGAATTTACCGTCCCCTGGCTTTGACAGCTAGCAGTGGATCTTCTCCTCCTGATAACTGTCAAAATGTTTAAAAAACGTGGGCGCGCGGGGCTCCACCCACCTGGCCGCGTCACTCATTCACAGTCCTCTGGGAATGAAAAAAACTACAAGTCCCAACAGCCTCAAGTTCTCAATGAACTACCACGGCGCTGTGAACACCATGGTAGTTCATTGATCCTTCCTGTCAGTATATCTACTTGCCCCTTCATCCCGTACGGGCAAGCAGATATTCTGACAGGTCTGCAGGGGACCTGCATGGCATCAGCGATCTGCTCATCGCTGGTGCAATGCTTTACAGGTTCCAGCAACAAAAAAATAACAGATGCACTTTTTTTTTTACCTGCAAGCAAATGTGCATGTATTATTTTTTGTCAAAAGGTGAACTTATCCCTCAAGGCGCAAACAGAAATGCTTAAGAGGATGGAGTGAACGGGTCCAGTTTAATTGTTACAGGAAATGCCAGGATTTGCATATAAATTTAGCCGCATTTCTATCTGGATCTGCTGATCATTTGACATGCATTCAGTTAGAGTAGCCTTTGCTTATACATTTTTCATCCTATATTTTGTTTATGGGCAGCAGAGTGGCTAAATGGTTAGAACTTTCACCTGGCAGTACTAGGGTCTTTGGTTCAAATCCCAGCCATGGCACCACCTGCCTGGAGTTTGTATGTTCTCCCTGTACCTGCGTGGGTTTCCACACACTCCAAAGACATGCTGGTAGGTTAATTGGCTCCTGTCTAAATTCGCCCTAGTATGTGTATGTATGAATGTGAGTTAGGGACCTTAGATTGTACCCCTTGAGGGTTAGGGACTGATGTGAATGTACAGTATATATGTAAAGTGCTGTGCAAATTGACAGCACTATATAAGTACCTGAAATAAATACATGTTTAATTAGAATGAACTGTGTTTGTGACAGGTTCACTGTAAAGCTCCATGCACACAAGCTAAAAAAAATGCTAGAATAAAATACTGGATGAAAAATGCTGATAATAGCATATTTGTGCTGGCTTATAGTAGCGTTTTAGAAGCGTTTAGCAGCATTGGCTTTTTTTTTGCATTTTTACAGTACATGAAGTTAAAAAAAAATGCTAAAAAAAAGGAGCGTTCAGTGGGTTTTTTTTTTCTTCCACTAGGAAAAGGCTCCCAAAAACTCTAAAAAAAAAAAAACATTTTTTTTTCTGCTCCTAAATGCTGAAGCTTGAAAAACGCTTCTAGCATTAAATAGTGTGTATGGATACATAGGATAGCACTATTAGCTTCTAGGAGCAAAAAAAAAATGCTCATAATAGCTTCTTAAAAAAAATGCTAGTGTGCATGGAGGCTAAAGTGGGTACTGCGCTTAGGTAATTGCACACATGCAACATGTTTTAAAAAAGGGAAAATAACATACACTGGACACTGATGCATAGTGAGGTTTGTATTGAACACCAACGAAAAGTTAGAGCTTTGCACTGAGCACAACTGCAAAGGGATAAAATATAATATTCTTTTATTTATTGTCAGGGCTTTTTTTCTCATAGAATAGGTGCAGGAACTCTACCTTTCAAAATCAGCCCTTGTCTCCGCTTCTACCCATCTGTTCCTTGGTTCCACCCCCTACCCACCTCCCAGTACTGCCCTTTTAGAGAATACAGAACCAAGTATCATTTTGTGATGCTAAATAATTTATATGGAATTTGTTAATAACAATAAAAGCAGTAAAATAGATCCCCTGCAGCCAGCAACAATAGATTCCCCTCGCCCAGCAACAATAGATCCCTCCAGCAACAACGGATCTCCCCTCAGCCAGCAACAATAGACCCCTCTCTCGATTGTGCCCGTGGGGTAATTAGTTCCCCATTTCTGGCATCAGTGTTAGGAACAGTGCCCTGTCGCTGCTGTCAGTGGAAGGAACAGTGCCCCGTCGTTGGGGTCAGTGGGAGGAACAGTGCCCCATCGTTGGGGCCAGTGGGAGGAGCAGTGCCCCATTGTTGGGGTCAGTGGGAGGAATAGCGCCCCATCATTGGTATCAGTGGGAGCAATAGTGCCCCATCATTGATGTCAGATGGAAGAATAGTGCCCCATCATTGGTGTCAGATGGAAGAATAGCGCTCCATGGTTGGTGTCAGTGGGAAGAATAGCGCCCCATCATTGGTGTCAGTGGGGAAGAGTAGTGCCCCATCATTGGTGTCAATGTGGAAGAGTAGCGCCCCATTGTTGGTGTCAATGGAAGGAATAGTGCACCAAGGGCTGGATAAAAGCAAGTAAAGGGCCGCATCTGGCCCACGGGCCGCAGTTTGCAGACACCTTCTCTAGCTACAACTTACTGATCACACTAACAGTCCATGAGCTGTAGATCAAACCATTATTTCAAGGGTTCCCTGTGAAAAATGTTAAGGGTTCCTTCAGGTATGCCTTCTATCTGTGTTCCCTGGCCAAGGGGCATAGAAAACAAAAGAATATTAGGTACTATGTTATATAGAAAAGAAGGAAAATAATAACTGGGTCCTTCCACTGTCAACCACTAATTTGTGGCAGTGATGTTGGAAAGCTGAAAGAGGGTCATGAGATCTTCATATGACGCTTGAATCTCACATTTTATTTATCTTCTTCTTTAGACTCATCTTCCACATTATAACCCAAGAATATATGCGTACAGAAAGCCTGGAAGAGACATCTATGGCGTGGACTCTGTTGCCAGATGTGGTCTTGGTGAGCATTCTTATATTACAGTATTGTAACATTTGTAGGTTCAATCTACTACAGACTAGTCTGCTCAACTGACCCTGAGAGAGCTGATTTCTGTTCATCTGAATATTTCAGCTGACCTGTCCATTTTTCTTTATTTTCCTATCATCTTCTTTTTGCAGCGTCTCATAAAGTAGTGAACCTGCAAAAAATTAGGATTTTTGAACTTTCTTAAACCTTCAAGTTATACATACTACCATCACTGTAAGTCGCGCAATTTCAAAGTAGGGTTTGATGTGACCGGGGTGTAAATCATAACAATGCAAGGATCAAGTAGTGCTGGATTCACTGCAGGCACCCGGTTACAACATTATGGACACCAAAAGGTAACGTGAACAACATTAACGATCTCGTTACAATGACACATGAAAGTGGATGGGGTATGTTAGGCAGAAAATAAACATGTTTTCCCTGAAGTTGATGTGTTGAAATAGAAAAAATGGGCAAGCTTAAAGATTTGAGTAACTTTGACAAGGGCCAAATTGTAATGGCTAGACGACTGGGTCAGAACATCCACAAAACTGCAGCTTTTGTGAGAGGTTCTCAATCTGCAGTGGTCTGGATTAACTAAAATTGGTCCAAGAAAGGAAAAGCGGTGAACCAGTGACAGGACCATGAGCAAACAAGGCTGACTGATGCACGTGGGGGAAGGTTGGCCCATCTAGTTAGATCCAAAAGAAAAACTGGTTCTGACAGAACGGTGTCATAGCACACAGTGCATCATAGTTTGTTGAGTATAGGACTGCATAGCCACAGAGCAATGGAAGAAAGTGGCCTGGTCTGATGAATCACATTTTCTTTTACATCATGTGGAATGCTGGGTGTGTGTACATCACTTACCTGGGGAAGAGATGGCACCAGGATGCACTACGGGAAGTCAATCCATGGGGGCCCAACCTCGCAACTTACAGGGCTTGAAAGATCTGCTACTGAAGGCTTGATGCCAGATACCACAACATAATTTCAGAAGTCTAGTGAAGTCTATGTCTCGATGGGTCAGGGCTGTTTTGGCAACAGTCATTTATAAATCATTTGTAATGCCACATTTAGAATATTCGGTCCAGTTTTGAACACCATATTATGAAAAAGAACACATTGATTGGGAGATGGTTCAAAAGTGGACAATTACATTACTCAGAAATGGAAAATCTCACTTAACCACTTCCCATGGACATGGGCCGGACGGGGTGCGCTGCTGAAGCGGGAGGAACTTTTTAAACATCACCCGCATTCACTGCTTGTGCTCGCTCCCTGGGAGCGCGCGGCACCACGATCACTGAACACCAATCGCTGTACGGGACTCTGTGTGAGGTCCCGATTCATGTGATCCCTGATTGGCCAATTAGTGATCATGAAGGAAGGCCGAGGGCTGGGCCCACAGATTCAGAGGGTACACAATACCACACAGACACAGACAGCGGTTCTTTTAAAACAATTACGTTTACTGAACAATTTAGAAGTGAATACTTGTGAGCTACTATAAATAAGGTGTTCAATATAATATTGATAAAATTAGTAATAGTAAACTACCTATATATTGTGCTGGGTGCGCTGACACTTTCACAAACTCACTTGATTGTGTATTTATTAATTAAATATACTTATATTGCCGCGCTCCTACTATAAATACTAAATCATATAGTGTGTATCACTCATAATAATAAATAAAATAAATAAACTAATAAATAATAAAAATCAATTAATTAGTGTGACTTATAAATAAATGTATATAAATCAAACCATTATTGTGCTAAAATATGCCATATGTGCCCAATCAATAATATCAATGCAATAATAAATATGCAGATGTAATTCATATAGTGCATAAATAAATTAAAAAGTCTTTTATATAAATTTGTGCAATGTGCAGGTGAACTCCTTAATCCCTCTTTCCAGGTGCCGTGTAGTCTCAATATGCGCTCACCTTAATATTTGCCCAAATAATTTAGGCAAATAAACTTTTAGTCCTTCCAGGACTGGTGGGATAATGCTCCTCTATAAAATATTCCAGATAGATGTGAAGGCCTGCTCAGATCCTCCTATGATCTCCTCTTAATTCATACACGTAGCCTCTCATAGATAGACATTTGGAAAATGTGTGAGAATCTCCTATTTCCCCTCCTGGGGACACCTCCTCCTCATATCCACCTTTCCTCAGTATTGGATATATAAATCAGATGGAGAAAAAAAGACCATGGTGCCTTATCCTTTTAGGTAAGAGTAGTTTATTGCTACCAGATGCGGTGATACAGCAGTTTAAGGCAGTTATCTGGTACAGGTACGTTTACTGAACAGTTATAGTGATCATGTAGTTGAACATACGTAAACAGAATGATAACAGCGCATAACCATACAGTAAGAATAATACTGTCTAACACTAACCCCGTACTTGCGGACTTTTCCCCAATGTCCAGAAAGCAGCCTGGCTGCGCCTGAATGTTCCTGAGCAAGATATAATGTTGGGGTGCACCCTAAGTATTGCGCAATACTATTTGTAATCCAAAGGAAAGTGGAGTGTGTCTCTTGTAACTTTCTGGTATATCCAAAATGTCACTGAACACGTGTGGTGCGATGTGCTGCGGAAAAGCCGCACTTACAGTTCCCTTGCAGGCTCTTCGTGCTTTTTCCTGATCCACTCCAGAAGCGGACCATACAGTCACTTGTTTCCTGGTCTCGTTGTGGTGAATCTTCCCCAGGTGCTGTCGCCAGACTCCACTGTAAGCCGTAAATCCTTTTCCAGGCCCCACACAGATTCTCCAGATGTCCTCAGCATACACCAGCCAGACACAGACTCCCTGTCACTTCCTCCTCTGCACCGGAACTCCTCCCCTTCCCATAGAGTTTGTGATGCAGTAAGTCATTTCTTAATTGCAGCCTCAAACCTGCATTTACAGTTCACTATGACCCTTCTGAGGGTCCTACTTGGCCCCTAAATTAGTATTCATTAAACTTTATAGGGTAAATAAGCATTTATCTTGTCTTAACAAAAGTCACTGCAAAATCGATTCTTGTACTTTGCTGCCATCTACTGACCAAAGAGCATATTGCAGGCATATTACAGTTTAACATTACACATCAGTATTTCATGCCTCCACACCCTTACTATCACATGAGCAGTAGTAAAGAAGATGTCACTTCCTGTCATCATTGCTTACTACTAGTGAAATCTGTGAATGATCACAGAGGTCACATGTTACATGGCTATTCACAACAGCCTTGTAGCATGTGACAAGCTGTGACCAATCACAGCTCTTACAGTATTTCTCAATGGCTGCACGAATGCAGCCAGAGAGAAATAGAAATGATTGCTTTTACAGCCTTTATGGGTGTAAAAGCAATCAGTGTAAAAAAAAAAAAAAAAAAAATCCTCATCACCCCCCACATCACTGTACTGCTAGGGTGACAGTATGTTAAAAAAAAAACATAAATTATATAAAAATGTAAAAACATTTTTTGTAAAATTATAATTTTTGGTTATAAACTAATTTGGGTTATTTTTTTTTACTAAAAAGATAGCTGAATACATTTTGGCCAATATTTTTGAAGAAAGATTATTTATTTGCAAACCTTTATAAGAAAAACACTTTTTTTTCCAAACTTTTTGGACTTTTTCATTTATATAGTAAAAAAATAAAAATCCCAGTGGTGTGAATAAATACCACCAAAATAAAGATTTGTCTCAAAAAAATGCTAGAAAAGTCATATGGGCATGACCGCGCAATTGTCATTCAAAGTGTGATAGCACTGAAAGCTGAAAATTGGCCTGGACAGGAAGGGGGTGCAAGTGTCCAGACTTGAAGTGGTTAAAGCTGGTACACAAGGGACAAATATCGGCTGTCAGCGGTTCAACAGAAATCATTAGATATTCATCCTGTGTGTACAGCAGCCTGTCCAACAGGTTTTATCGAACGGGCATGCTGAAACCCCAACTAAGGGCTATTTTTGTTTTTTAAATGTTCCTTGGATAAAAAAAAAAACAGCTCTGGCTGCAATACGCAGCTTCAGTTTGGAGTTTTCCCCACAGTACTTTTTCACCACAAGAAGATGTGCTCAGTCTTTGGGGTTGAAAGATACCCAGTGTCATTCAACCCAAAAGACTAAGGAAAGACTGTCCCCTGAGCATGGTGCCTCGCTGTGTATTGATAGAAAAGCAGAGCTGATGTCATTTGTTCAGTTGTGCTCCCTGCGTCATTCAGGACTGCCCACTAAAAGATCAATGAGGAAGAGGGGCCCAGCTCATCAGGTGACTGACCAGAATCAGGACATCATGAAATGGTAAGTGTAGCACCCGCCTAGACAGGTACTAGGAGTAGATAGATTTAGTTCTGGCTCACTGTATCCAGTGGAGCTGCATTTTGTTGTTGGGTAAATTTAGCTTTTCTCACTGTAATCAGTGTGGCTGCAATTCTGCATTAGGCAAATTTAGTTCTAGCTCACTGTAGTCAGTGCAGCTGCATGTGAATGTACATTGTTTTCTCTGTGTCTCTCAGGCTGCAGATTTAAAGTGTTACTAAACCCACAACAGTAAAATCAATCTGCATGCTTGTTATACTCACTATGGAACCTAGGGGGTTAATCCTCTGCATTGTCTAAAAATGCTGTTTAATCCTGACTTCTCTGATCCTCCCCTTCCTCCAGTGCCCCCCTCTTTTCTCCTGATAAGACATATCGTGTGGAGTCACTCTGCACATGCTAAGGTTAGCGTGTATTGTTAGAGAGGTATTTTTTTTTCTTTTGGAGAGTACATGTGATCAGCACAGGGCCAATCAGCACTGTCCAGACAGAGGTCAGGGGTTCTACATTCTCCTAGAAAAAAAACTCCTCCTACCAGCTGTAACATGTTCTCTGCTGGATACTGATAGAAGTCACAAGACTGCTCTAACTGCTGATGAGAAAAGGTATTTAGCAGTTTATATTTACTAAAACAATAGCATTTCCATGCTGTGTGTATTGTGGGAGACCAGATACGATGAATGTAGGGTCCTGGGTTTAATTGCTCTCACTCTGTATCTCCAGAAATACCTGGACATTTCTGGAACATAGGTGTGGAGTAATGTAAATGGACAACATGAATATTTATAGAGCCCCAGCCAATGTTTGTGGGCCCTGCACAGGTGGCTGCTGGGATATGGGTATAAATAGTCTGAGATCTAGAGCAGTCTTTTCTTGTCCTGGAGAGGAGAAGTCCAGCCTGGAGGGCCTGCTGCCCTCTCGGCAGTCCTGCCATGTGATTTCTGTTCACAGGACCTCAGCTTGGCTTGCTGAAAGGCTTAGAAACCTTTCAGCAAGCCAACAACTGTCTCTTGTTGGGTATGGTCTGGGATCACTGGTAGAGGTGTCTGGAAGACATTGAAAGGAGGCATCAATTTGTCTGAGGACATTTGTGAGTACAGACTGTGTGAGAGATCGTAGAGACTGTGGACTGCAGCTACCCCTCTAGTACTAGATAGTCAGATGAGAGTGCAGGAAAAAGGCGATGCCGGCTGGTATCCTGAAGAGCTTAGTCCGTCTTGTTCTGTGTTAAAGGAACTCTCCTGAAGTTGCCTAAAGAAAGAAGTTTATGCCTTTATCTGCTTCAACTAAGCCAAGTCCCTTACTGGCCCCTACAAGGACTGCGCTTAAAGTGCTGCAGAAGACAGTTAGGGGTTGATTTACTAGAACTGGAGAGTGCAAAATATGATACAGCTGTGCATGGTAGCCAATCAGCTTCTAACTTCAGATTGTTCAATTAAGCTTTGGCAAAAAAAACAAACCTGGAAGCTAATTGGTTTCTGTGTAGAGCTGCACCAGATCTTGCACTCTCCAGTGTTACTAAATCAACCCCTTAGTGTCTTCATTTTGTGCATTGTTCATTTTGAAGCACCCCAGTCATTCCCAATCCCTTTTCAAGTTATCCCTAAAAATAAAAACACCCTAAAGAACAGCCCTGGACTATTTACTGAGCTAAAGAGTGACTGTGACCGTGTGCATGGCTGATGAGCGAAACTACAGGAAAATACCTCAGGGACTTATCTAGCTGCTTGCCCCTATAGGGGTATTGTGGCAGGAGTCACTTTGGGTGGGGGGCCCATGGAACCCAGCTTACTTTGGAGAGGTGGGGAGACCCCTGTCTCAGCTCCCCATATCACTCTTATGTGTAAATCACCCTGTGTCTGTTAGGGGTACACGGTGATCTGTCCTAATATTGTGTGGGCTTTGTCTCATACTGTGTAGACATGTTTAGGAGATAGGTGGGGTGGGGGTTGATTGGTTAATGCTATGTGTATTAGCTTTGTGGGGGGGTGTCTCCAGCAGACCTCCCTGCTGGTGTGAAGTTTGAACTTCTATGAGTCTCTTGTTACTAAATGTAGATTGCCACGCACTGTGTCATTATGCAGGGAGGGGGGATTGTCCCCTGAGTGTATATATCTTGTATCTGTGTTCAAATAAACTAGTCTACCTCCTGGTTTACTTCAAGACTGGTGTCGTCTAGTCTTGTATGGTCGGCTGTGGTGTCTGTTGTCGGTGTTCGGACAGGGAAGCAGTATTCTAACGGAAGTACTCAAGCGCAGTCTGGGTCAGTTCCATTACAGATACCACTACATACACAAAAGTATAAAATTCTATGGGGGGCTCAAGTGGTGAAGGAGAACCATGACGGTGAGGGGTGCATGGAGATGGGCACTAGACTGTGGAATGTTTTAATATATGAAGTAGAAATGGTAGACCAATAATGGTAAAAAATGGAATATGAAACTAATATCTAAAGTTAAAATTACTTAAAGCCATTATAGAAGTAAATCAACCCAGGAAATTCATCTAACTGCCCATGGGGGATCAGAGGGATTTTTCTTTTTTTGTGTGGCAGGTGCACAAGGAATTTTTTTTAACTTTCTCTGGACCAGAGAGCTAAATTCCAAATCTCTTTGCTAGTAAGGGAAAGACATGAAAGCAGACGATTGTTCCCTCTGCTCCATTAGTATCCTGTTGCAGGCATGTAGCCACTAGGATTGATACATGGCACAAAAGGAGCTTATTTAAGGAGTTTTCCTGATCACTTGTAAATAAAAGCATACTTTTGTAGAATTCTGTGATTTACAAAAAGCTGTTTCTTTTGTTTGCTTCATAATGTCTTGTTTGTCTTTTTGCTGCAGGGTTTGAGTTAGGTCCTCAACCGCAGGGGGTTGTCCGTGCTGATATATTGCAGAAAATGAAGACACTCGTTGAAGTCACTTTGGACTTTGTTAATTACCTCAACAAAGGTATGAGTGAGATATTTACTGAGAACCAAAACTGGTATTTGACACAAAAACCTGATTTCTTTCTTATAAACTGAGGGACACAGGAAGTCCTTACTGTCAGGTCCTACTGTCGCCTTCAGGATGATTGGACGTTAGCAAACAAAAAAACGATGGGCCAGTCTAGATTAGGTCCTGGTCTCAGCATGCCTCAGTTTTTTGCTAGTGTCTTATTAGGATGGACATTTTTTCACTGCTCTGCAAGTCTAACCTTTTTGCTAGCTACTTTTCTTTTTTCCTTAATTAAGATTTGCTGCTGAGCTGTTCTCTACATGTTATCCATATCAGCCTTTCCAAAGCCTAGACTAGACGAATGCAGGGATACTCTACAGTTTGGCTTTCAAGCAGTGGGCTCTGCTATGTGGCATTTTTCAGACTTTCGTGTACTGTGTTTCTCTAGGTCTAGAGCCTCTGGTGTGACCCTGTCTCTGAAAACTCTGACTTTGTGAGTAGGCCATACAGGCTGAGCACTAGAAACTACCTGACACAGGTTAAAATTTCCACTTTCCACTGGTTTTAGTGTGAAAGAAGTTAGTGCTGAGGAAATGAGTTGGTTGGAATTGAGTGGTGTAGTTGCCTATCGCAGGCAACAAATACCCTCAGATGAACTATAGCATTGTTTTCAATAGTCTCTGAGCACCTATTAGGCTGCTCATACACAGTACAATCTGATTGTACAGTCTCCTTTGTCATCATGCCCAATCCCTGTGGTAGAATAGTTCCAGGGTTTCTTCTCCAACCTGTTCCCAAACCAAAAGAAGTATCCACCTCATTTTGGATCTCAAACCCTTAAATATAATGATTTAGGTTCAAAAATACCATATGGATTTTGCCAGGTCTGTCTTAACTTACTTTCATCAGAAAGACTTTCTGGTTTCTGTGGACTTTAAGATGCATACCTGTACGTCGTCATTTTTCTGGCACCTCAGTACTTCCTTTGCTTTACTGTTGGACCTCTGCATTACCAACTTGTGGCTTTCCCAACATGCTGTCCCATGTGTTAGCCTTGCTGTGCTGCCATGGTATTCTCGTTGTGGGATATCTAGACAACCCTTGTAGAGTTTCAGCTAGATCTCGAACTTGCAGAAAAGGGAACCGACTCATCACTTGGAGTATCTGGGTCTACCCCCTAGACACAGCTTAAGCTAAAGGTTTCCTTCCCCAGAAGAAACTTTAAACTCTCTGCTTCTAGACACAGATTCTTTAGTCCAGGGCTCACCCGACTCTTCATCTTTACATGAGAGTTCTGGGGCTGTTAGTAGCCTTCGTTAAGGCAGTCCTATTTGGCTCGAGACCCCTACAACACAACATTCAGTCGTCATGGGACAAGTCAACTCCTTGCACTGACTGATTAGCCTGAAGACCAGGTTGTCCCTAGTGGGAAGTGCTTAATATGATCAACATCCTGGAACTTCAGGCAATTTGGTTGTCATTGCAACACTGGAGCCTTCCTGCTGAAGTCATTTGGTCCACGTTCAGACAGACAATGTCTAGGAAGCAATGTACATCAACCATGAGAGAGAAAAGGATTCTGTCATGGGCAGAACTTCATGTTCCAGTCTTGTCTGCCATTTACATTCCAGGTCTAGAAAACAGGCAGACTTCCTCAGCTGGCACTGCCTGGATACTGAGGATTGGTCTCAGAGGTGCTCCAGAACATGTGTCACAGGTGAGAAATGCTGGATGTAGATGTCCTGACCCGCAGGTTCAACAACAAACTGGAGAGGTTTGCTTTAGATACAGGATCCTCTAGTAGAAGCAGTGGGATCAGTACTCCAAAGCCTCCATCTTTACTCCCCTAAAACTCCTTCCTTGTATGCTTTGCAGAACTGAGCCGGAGAGCATTCCAACTCCAGACAGGTCCAGGTGTATGTGGTACTTTGACTTGATAAGACTCCTAATGCTCCATGGGATTTTCCAGATCATCCAGATCTTATATGTCAGAATAATCTCAAGGATCTCTTCCTCCCTTTTCATATCAAGGCAACTCCACTAGATATATGAGTGTTTCTTCGGCTTTTCAACATAGGTGGATGTTTTGGTCTCACCTGATGCCAGCTTCAGTTGCAAGATCTTTTATAAGGTTCTCTGAGGTACAGGGAGGGCCCTGTCTCTATTGTTTTTTTGTCTGGTCTGTTAGTGATTATTTGCTGTGTTGCCCACCCCTCCATTGGACTTCTTTTGGACACACCAATGATAAAAGGCTTCCTATGTCCCTAAATGGATTCCAAGAAAAGGGTTTCACGTTGTGTACCAAAATTCTATTTTCCTCTAATGCAGATCAGTAACACTTACAGGTCTTGTCCCTCCCCCCTGTGACTGACCAGTGAAGGAACACATGGCAGACTGATGGGCTCATTTCTCTGTCACGCCACTCTCTCCAAATATCTGTCTGGAACTGAGCTTTAATTTTTGTCTAAATGCAGCGACCCTTAAAGAGATTAAACAACATATCTTTTGATAAAAACATTTAGCCTGACTCATATGAAACTTGATTGTACAGTGTCCATTTTCGGATACCAGTTCTGCACCAGACATGTAACCTCCCTCACCCCTAGCAAAGCTATCTCCTTTAATCTAATGGCCTGGCTCACTCCCTCTAGCATCCCATGTGGCATCCAACAGAGCTGTATCCACATTGTATTATTGGCCACCATCAGTAAATCAGAGACTCAAATGCATGTTTAAGTCAAAATTTACATGCGGAGTTCACCTGTATTGTGGTGTGCCAAGTTGCAGAGGAGCACTTTTGCTTAGGACTAGACTGGCTCCTGTAGTGGGCTTACTTTTCAACTTAATATTATGATGATAGGTTAACTGTAAATACACTGGGTTCCAAGGCTAGCACTCACATATGTTTAACACTGCCTTCCAGGAATGGAGTTCCCAGCTTTTGAAACTGATATTTACCAGTATGCTGGTGAAGTGGATTTTCCCCGGTCATCGGATGGGGAGATATCAGCGGTCATACATCCTTCCCTACAGGTACGTGTTTTATCATTTTTATTAAATAATTGGATTGTATTTGCGATTGTGTCGGACTGAATTTTTTTGTCTTGTGACTTTATCTAGCAGTATAGTACATCATAATGCTTGGCAGAAAAATAGGTTTGTAAACTGGTTTTTATGTGCTGAAGGTTACTGATCTGCACTTGGAACATTTCACAAAATGATCAGACAGTGTAAAACTTGAGGCCAGAGCTCTTTACTTGTCCACGCGTACTATTAGCTGTCCTCTGTGCCAATTACTTTTGTATTTAGATATGTGACATCACGCTTTCCACTCCATTCAAGCAAGCATTCATTTGCAAAGCATTCTTTGATTGGTGCCTGTTGAGCGGCCGACCTCCTGTATTCAGTAAGCAAAAGTGCAGCTGTTCGAGGCAGGACCCAAAAGCGAGTGGAGAACATTGAAGTAGCGGTGCCTATTTTAGTGATTTCTAGCTTCTAGGGCCATCAGCTAGGTATGGTATATATACTGTGCAAGGGTTCCCTTGGTCCAAGTTGAACAAATGTAATTATGTATAAAATACCCAAGCCTGGAATTACTGTTTAATAATTACAGGGCTACATTAATTTCTCTCTTCCATATCTGTCTGGAGTTCAGCTTTAAGTTTGTCTGGAAAAAGGTTTTAAAGAGATAAGACAGAACCTGTTCATCCCAAGGCATTGTATTGAAAATATCAAAATAAAGAGTTTCATAGTGCAAAAATTTAGAAATTTTGTAGAAATTTTGCCCGGTTAATCAATAGGGGATGCAAATTTTTTTTTTTTTACAGCAGATCCATAGGTCCCCTGTCCTTTTCCATAGGTCAGGTGTTCTGGTAAGATTAGAGGTCCATTTATATACTTGATTTGTGGTAACACGCACATTAATGCAACACGTTACATGTGTTACTGCTTTGTATTGCCATTCATTAAGACATCCCAACCCACTAAGGCAGATCACATGTTACAGTGCGCTGCAATCCATCATTGCTGTTCAAATTTTTCAGCACATCCGATTTTCAGGATATTGACAGCCCAGTATTTTCAATGGGGTGTCTTAACTCAACGCACTTTAATGTGCAAAAAAAAAAATGTGTTAACACGCATGCAATGCCACAGCAAATAAATGAAAATAGGCCTTCAATATAAACATAATATTGCAGTTAGAAGTCATTATGACTGAGAGAGTTACCATTACTCCATTATTAAAGCTCATTTGAACCCATACATTTTATTAGTCTGATACAGTCTGGGCTGGCCAAAAAGTAATGTACTGTATGTATAGTTTTTTTTTTTTTTTTTTACGTGTTCGTGCCATAGACCTGTACCAAACTGCCCAGTATAGGCAGCATGCTTTCACATAGAGCTCAGTAGTCCAGATTTCCAGTGGTTACATAAGCCCCTGGCACAATGCTCCAATACCTGAGCAGCATTTTCATTGAAGCACTGTGTGGGGTGGGGGGGTGGTATCTGACTGCTAAAGACGTGAACTGGGGAGCTCTTTATAAAAGCAGGGGTCCTACTTTGCTTAATGAAACTGTGTGCTCATCTTACCTTAGAAGGACCCAGGTCTACTTAGCAGGCACCTTCCAGCATCCTTTGGTGATCTTTAAAGCTCTCTGAGATCTTCAAGAAAGAGCTTTCCATAACCACATCTTAGGTGATAGAACTCTGAACCTGATCCATCCAGCTCCCAGACTCCACATTGAGGTTGTTATTGTATTTGGAATCCAACAGAAATTCACAGGAGTGGGAAGAGGAGGTCCAGATCTCAACCACTGAGAATGCATTTGGTATTTGCATCATAGAGCACCTGGGTTTTGGGGATCCTTGGGCTGAGCAAGCACCTTGTTTTGACTTCTTACAAAGTAACAAGAGCCTATAGGTTTACATCAAGGTGAACCTGTGGCTAAGCCATCACTGACCTCTGTAGCTGTAGGAACTTTGGGGCAGTTGTTAAACTAATTCTCTCAGCAGCTCAGCCTTTCCTACCCCTCCTTCCCAGACCTCCTGTTCTGTGTTTACATTAGAGATTAGAAGGCAAGTGTCCGGGACCCCAGAGCCGGCCGCGATCGCGCATGAGTCTGCGCATGCGTGGTGTGCTCGGCCGCACTAGCGTGCGAGCATTCGGACCAGGGCTCTTTGCAATTGCAGCGGCGCTTGCGCATGCGCACTCGCGTTCGCGGACACGACCCTGGCACCAATCAGGGCGCAGGGTGCCCTATTTAAAACAGGTCAGGACTGTGCTTAAGTGCCGTATGGTCTTACCTGTATCCTGAGTTCCTGCGTTGTAGATTGCCTTGTTGCTGACCCTGCTTGACCCTGATTTGCTGTCTGTCTCCTGTTCTGATCCCTGGCTTGTCTGACCATTCTCCTGCTTAACCCTGCACATTCTGATTTCCTGTTACCGAACCCGGCTTGTGACCTGTTTATCCCTCTGCCTGCTGATTTTGTACCATGCGGCCACCACCGTTACCAACCCGGCCTGCCCGACGCTGCTCTTGTTACCTCCTCACATCAGGCTCTCACCTGCTACACACCTCCAGCGGTGCTTCTACCGCAGCTGGGTGAACCCAGGGGCCGCGACCTGGTCTCGGCCTGCTTCAAGTCCATCCCCACCATCAGGGGCCCTGGAGAACAAGCAGGTTGGGGCTTAGGTTCCGTGCCTTGGGGAATTCCAGTCTGTGGAATGCTAGAGGCTACCGCTGGTAGGATCCCTAACAGCCAGAGAGTTGCTGGGTAACTGCCAGGGTGGGGGAGTTGAGCTTCTAAGAGAAAGATGAACAACTTCATTGCTTCAGCTGGACTTTGAGGATGAGTTGCTCCACAGTACCTGCAGCTACAGAGGTCTTGTTTGATTGTTAAATTACTGCTTATTAATAATATGTAAATACTTGAATTACCTTAGCCTGAACACTTCAAGCCAACAGGCACTAAATGAGACCTACATATGACCTATGTAAACAATAACATGTCTTTGTAGGATAAAGATTTTTCACTGCTGTGCCCCGGGGACCTGCTCTTTCTGAGTCTGGATGGAAAATCAATTCCTTACAGTGGAGAAAAGCCCCTTCATCCGGTTTTCATTAATGAAGCTGCTTATTATGAGAAGAAGATTGCCTTTATACTGGCTGAGAAGATCCAGGTGTCTGTTCCTGCTTTGAGGAGGCAAACACACTAAATTCCAAAGCAGAATTGTCTGCTTATTGACGGAGTATTTTACTTTAAAATGTATTTCTGGAAAGACATTTTTTCAGTTTTTGTTAGAATCTTTTTAGGGTTTTTGTTTTGCTGTCTGTTTCCCTTGGGAGATTTTCCTTCGCTTTTTGCCTTGGAGCCACAACAGGAAGTAAGAGGAAATCCCCTTTAAGGCTTAGTTCATACTGCTGCAAAGGCCAAGTTGTACAGATTTACCTGCAATTTCCTTCCAACTTTGATCCAACTTTGTTGTGACTTTAGACATTAGAGTCTATGGGCTGAAATCGTACCCAAGTCGAGCCAAAGTAGTGCATGAACCTTTTTTAAAACCAAAGCGACTTGTGTGGTATTAGTTAAGATGGCTCTTATAGGGAAACATTGATTTTCACATGTCATGCTACTACTTGGGGCCTCACAAGTCGGATCCTATCTCGCAGCAGTGTGAACTCAGCCTTAGACAATTGTCAATATAGCAGTTATCCTGGATTTCCCCTCACTTCCCATTTGCTGGTGGCAGCTGGAAAATTTTAGATTTCATAGTTGGATTTCATACTTTCTGTCTCTGTGACATTGGTTACCAGGGCAAATAGAAAGGACGAATCTCACCAGCAGGGACACAGCCATAAAAACCCGATTGGCATTTTTACTTCTCTCTACTCAATCCAGAACTAACAAAAAAAAAGTTTTGACTGAATATATACTTTAAATAAGTAAGGATACTTTATATTCTTTCAAGTGGTGGCATAGTGCAGTGCACTCCACCACCAGATATAAAGGCCAAAGCTGCACCTGTTCTTGGCTCATGTGTGGACCATGCACAATAAATAACTTTGAACAGATAATTTGTAACACCAGTTTTCATCTACAATGGCACTGGAGGGGAATTCTAAGGCTGGCCATACGCTATACAATTTTCTGCCCAATTTCCTTTAGGTTTACCTTCAACTATATAGTGCAAGGGCCTACCTAGTTGGATATAACTGAAAATGTTGTTTAGGTTTGACTGCATATTATATGGTTTTTGGTAAATCTAAAGCACAATTCTCAAGATAATTGTATAATGTATGGCCAGCTTTAGATTGCCTTTTCATGTTTAAAAAAATCCAACAGCTGGAGAGTTATACTATGTTGTTGAATCTCAAGGTCTCCAACAAAGGCCCACTTCTATTATAGGGGGGAGATTCTCTGCAATTGGTATATCCAATTACTGGACAGTTTTTTTTTTTTTTTTTCTTTTTTTTTTTTTTTATACTGTGTGTGGACCCCCGCCCCTCCTTTAACTTTTTTCACTAGTATTAGAATTAAATTGCACATAATTCTATGAATGCTCCAGCATGACTATAAAATCAAGTAAGAAAGGTAACAAGTGCACAGCTGTAATTCCATAGGAAGTTTTCCCTGATGGGCTACCTGTCCATTATAAAAGCCACTTCTATTCAATAGGTTTTGAATAAATTTCAATCATGCAAAATTCATCAATTTCCTACCTATAGCCTTTTATAGAGGTTTATACAGTGTTTATAGTTTAAATTTACACTTGGTTGATCTAATTATATATATATATATATATATATATATATATGTAATTATTTAACAAAAATATTTGTTGTAATATTTGAATAAAAATCACAATTCTGCATTATTATATTAAAGTATGGATTATTGTGTTTGCATTCTACTACTGGGTTATGTCAGTCACACATCATATTGGTAAATTTCACTGTGAACCTAATAAAACAAAATAAAAAATAATTTTTTGTTCAGACTTCTAAATGGTGACAATAATGTGGTCTGACAAATCCCAAACTGTATGGGGAGAACAGGAGAGTTTTACAGAACGCCATACCATCCTCATCCCTCCCAAGATCTCAAGCTGGTAACAAAAACATTCAGATTTAAATCTCTTGTCTGTGCTAGGCTTGATACTTGAAAGGGGAAAATGACAATTTTTTTTAGGCACTGGAACTGGGTATATTGCTCTACTGAATCCCTCATCTGGTACCATCAATATTGCATATACACCTAATTGTAATCAAGAGATGATGTAATCAGCTTTTTGAATATGCTGGTTTTATTAAGAAGTCCAAATAATAATATATAAAATGAACATGATTTATACAATTGTATTAAATCTGATTTTAAAAATACATAGTTGACAAAAATAGAGTAAGCAGGAATCTACTTTCCAGCATTTCAAGACTATACAGATATAACAAAAAACTAACATTCCTCAGGTCATAATAATAAAGAGCTCATCCACCCGAAAACTGACCCTGAAATAACTCCAAGACCCCCAGCTTTGAGGTGTGCATCCCCTTTATGGTGTCCAAACAAGACAAATCACTAATTGGCTTCTCTTGAGTGGGAATGTTTGAAAATTTGATCAGCTCATGCAGCCAATCGGCAGTAGAGCAGATCAGTGTATTCCGACAGTGGAGAGCCTCCGTTGTCAGGATACAATAGCGCAGCAGGGAGAATTCCTTCATCCACCTCGAATGTGTGAATCTGTTTTTGTTTTTTTTTTTGATCGGCTGATGAGCCCACTGGTGATAAAAAAAAAAACCAAAACAAACCAAAAACAGCCCATATATGGCCAGCTTCAGACTGAATCAACTGTCACTAACCATCCTGTGAACTTGGTGAGAACAGCTCCAAATGTACCATTAAGACAGCTAAGTATCAACTGTTACGTGACAACACCTGCACCAGCATGAATGAATGAAACATGAGAATCAAGACGTGGTTGAATCTCTTAGATCTTACTGTAAATGTATATGCCTAAAGCCCAAACCCTTTATAAAATGAAGTTATCTTACGTGAAACTAAAGTTGAAAAAAAAAATGCATGCAGGTAGGCTCCTTATTGCAGAAGAAACATGAAATGTCTCTTCTGCGATAAAATACACTTCCCTGCCTGTTCGCAATCCCCTGTAGAATGTACACCGACCGGCATATGTGGCCTGTGTGCCAGGATGACTGCACTCCTGCGCATGCGTAATGTCATCCCGCCACTCAAGACAGTACCTGGAAGAAGCCGGGGAAAAGAAGTTAGCACTGGTGAGGAACCTCATGGGTGTCGGGCCTTTGGAACTGAGGTAGGTATTTTTTGCCTTTATTTCTGCTTGAGTCCTCATGCACGTTTGACGTTTTTACAGCGGCTGTTTTTGGCTTTTGACATTTTTTTCTACAGCCAGTAAACCCCCCAGCATATTATCCTATGTGTCCATGCACATATAGACAGGAATCAATGTTTTTTGGTTGGGACATTTTTTGGTTGGGAAAAAACCCAGGACTAGTGGGTTTCTAGAGGAACTTTTTAGCTGTAAATGCGCTCTAACGCTGAAAAACGCAGCAAACCAGCATTTTTTGACAAAAAATTTGGGGGGGTAAAAAAAAAACTCTAAAAAACGCTGCTAAACGCTACTACAAAAACAATAAAAAAACACTGAAAAAACTCATGTTTTTAACGTGACTACACAGCTAACGTTACCAGCGTTATTAAAACGCTGCATGTGCATGGAGCCTTAACTGCAAGTGAAAGTCCACTACATATACCCATTAAACATGACTTCTTACGGAGGTTGTTACTGTTCACATTAAAGCTAATCTATCATGCTATAGACATGAAGAGAAAAGATCACAAATGGCTATTGCAGATAATATTAGTATTGATTCTCTAAACTCTTGCCATCCACATACTGTACTTTGGGTCTCCTTTCTGTCTCCTACCCTTGCACTAACGATAACGTGGTACAGTATTTGCCCACAAATACATTTAAAGTGTTACTAAATCTTGGACCCTACCAGGGTTCCCTCTGCTGTCAATCACAGTCAGTCAGCCAATGGGGAGAGAGAGGAGGTGGGTCCAAGCAGCGGCTCCGTGTGTGAATGTACACACGAAGCAGCGGGTGCCGCCATATCAAGCTGCTTGCTGTGGGGGCACCCTACAGACAGGAGGAGCCAGGAGAGCCTAAGGGGGACCAAAGAAGAAGAGGATCCAGGCTGCTCTGTGTAAAACCACTGCACACAGCAGGTAAATATAGATATGTTTCTTATTTTACAAAAAAAGAAAAAAAAATTAACCTTAAGAATCGCTTTAACTTTTCAGTCAATGGGTGTTGAGCAATTTTTACTTAAATGGCTACACACCCCAGGACATGCTCCACAGGTACCTGAGTGCAAACAGCAGGAGTACTTTAGATGGCCTAATAAGAGATCTATGCTTTGCCAAAAGGAATGTTCTTCTGGTCATTAAGGCATCAAAGGGAGGGGGTGGGAACTTCAAAATAGACTGATGCTATAACAGAGTTTAGGTCTGCTTAAAAGAACAAAGGCTTCATTTATGTTTTGGAGAAAGAACTATCTGTTGTCCACCCCAACCATTCTCCTTCTTGTCTTTTTATATTGGGGAAATGGTTAGTCCTTTTCTTGCTTTACTCCTCTTCTACTGCCTGCTCATAGCAGTGTTCTCCATTCCTGCGCTTCCTTCGGGCTCGAACTGGTTGCTCTCCTTCGTCATTTTCCGCTTCGCTTCCAGATCTCTCGCTCTCACCACTTTCATTCTCCTCCTCTGATCCTGACTCATCAGAATTTTCTTCTTCCAAGTAGCGGTAACCCTTCATCTTGTGGCGAGGGGCAGGGATCTTGGGGATGCGGGGCTTCCATTTGGAGCTAATTTTACGCTCCATCCAGAGATAGGAAAGGACAGAAATTACAGCCGAGGCAAGCATAATCCCAAGTTTGGCCTGTGATGAAATAAACAGGGATTTTAATAGGATACAGTTTTGTAAAGTGCATCTAAATTTTGAGAGAAAAAACACTTTCAATTCCCTAAACATGTAAATGGTGGAAGGGCTGGGAAATTTTGGACAGAGGGCAAACAAACAACTGGCCCTTACATTGTAAGGACAGATTTTAAGGGTTAAAGAAAGTGTGCCAAGGTGCCACATGGGCTTGCTGAAAGGTGGGTGTTCCAAAAGGACATGATTTATTTTGACACCATCTTCCAGCATCACCTACCTTTTTGAGGCTCTCAATGTCTAGTCTTATGACATCTGCAAAGAAAGCGAAGACTGGAAGATTTCCCTCGGTCAGGTTCTGTGATTGCAGGTTTGAACAGGTAACAGGTAGCTTTATAACATGGGTCCTACTCTGATCAATGCAAAAATAATAATAACCTGCGCTTAGGAGTGGTACTATGGAAATGTTGGACTTTCTGCTTGGCTAGCTTGTAGGTATGGAGGCAATAATCTTGTTGCCCTCACAGGACTGTGGGCGTCTCCGCATATACTGAAAACTACAATAAAAAGAGGGTGCACCGACCTAGCGCATGACATGCATTGGTGAATAAAAAGGATGCAGATGAGACCGCCTCCAGGTGCACAGTACTCCAATGGTATGGGAAGTCCTCATAGTGTCCTAAGACTTATGGTTTTCAAGGATCTTGTGTTCAAGCTTTTATGTAATTTTGTGTGGTATAAATTCTTTGTGAGTTTTTCAATAAAGAGTTCTTCTTTGTACTTAAGCTAGTGTCATCTTGTTTTTGGGAGCAATTCCCAACTATAATACCTTGTTCCTGTGTTCCAGCAGATAGGAAGCAGCTCTCTGACTGAGCCACTCAGGCAGGGTGCCAGGTGGTCCATCACAAGTATCAGTAGCAAATAAATAAAAACCCTCTCCTCCCCTCATATACCATACAAAGGTATCTTCAGGATTTACTCCACCATTTCCTATGTACACACACACATATATATATTTTTTTAAGAAAGTTAAAAGTGTTAAGGTTTTAATGTACTATGGAGAGGCACCTCTATGTTTGCTTTGCATGAATACCTTTTTGGAGTTCTGGTACATCTGCTGTATTGGGGAATCCCAGGTGGAGAGAGAACAGTTTGGGGAAGTGAAGGAGATCATAGTAATCTGGTAAGCAAGCTCCACTATTACACTATGGGTGATGGTGGTTGTTGTTGACACCTTCAGTGTAGGAATATAAGAAGAAGCACTTCATTACAGTCTTATTGGAACTTATTACCTGATTTTCACCATGGACTTTTTGGTTACTGGTGATATTTTTGGTGTATAATTTATGAAGAAACGGTCTCACTGGACCTAATTATTGGAGTTTCCTGTGGACTTTAGCTTTTCACTATTATATATCTTTGAAAGAAATTTAGTATGTAAAATGTAAATGAGATTTTCTTACCATCATTGGCAGCTCTGCCCACAAGTAAACAACAAATATAGCGAGCGCTTGGAGCCAGTGGTAAATGGTAAACACAAAGTCCTGACGTTCTTTATCTTCATAAAACATTCCTATTAAAACTGGAGAGAAGACAGTAAAGATCAATAAAATATGGATGATGATAGCTATACCCATGTTCCCATATGCAAAGTTCTAACAGTAACTGAAGTTTGACAGCTAGAGGCCATTAAATTAAAAATGTAGGACCAGCCCGAAAGGTCCTGATCCTATGATTACAGTTCACAGTTCCAGATCTTTTTGTTTGTTCCTGCCTGTGCATGGTTGGGAAAATGGGGTTTTGTGCCATCTTTGCCATTATTCATTGGAAACCAACAAGACACAGGTCTCTGCATAACCCCCATACCCCAACTGGAGATAAGTGGTGACCATAACCTGGCTATTATCCATTGGAAGTTAACAAGACACTGGACCCTGCCTAACCCCCATATTCCAACTGGAAGTAAGGGGTGACCATGACCTGGCCATTATTCAATGGAAGCCAACAAGACATTGGACCCTGCCTAACCCCCATATCCCAACTGGAAATAAGTGGTAACCATGACCAATGAGATAAGTACCTGTACAGTACAAACCAACACGTTGGTCTGAAATAAACATTGTATTTTAACACTGTATTTTAATACACAGCTGTGAACAGTGTTTCATTTGATAAAGAACTAAGAAGATTTCACTCTGATGAGGACAACTGAATCTATCCAACACAAGGTATATGGGCACATTGTGCATGTTTGCAGGAGATCGCTGAATGATTCAGGCTTATTCAGCCAGGCAGCGTAAAAAAAGCAAGTTTAGTAAGCCATGCCAACCAATCACAATTTATCTTTTAGTAAATTCTAATTGACTAGGGCATAATACCACACCCACACTATAACCCCAACACATCACTCACTGCTGAGGCCGGTCTTATTCAGGGCGCTGCCCAAACCCCACAGTACTGCTATCAAATAAAGCACGGGACCCTGCGTTTTGTTTCCTGGGTTGCGGACTCCAAAAAAACAAGGCAACTAGGATGCACATGTGCACTACGGCACCCCCAGCCAGGGGGATTTGGCGTGGTAGCCGAAGGAAACACAGGGGGCGAGGGTGGAGAAGACAGAGGCTGATAACCCATATGCTGTGATTAAATATGGAAGCTTCTCTAAGCCGAGGGAGCACACTCCATAGCACTGCAGAAAAAAGAAATAAAAGATTATTTAGGGAGCAAACAACAAAACAACATGAAAAAGAGGACATTTATCAGTAAGTAAAGGGACAGACGCAGATGAAGTTGTATTAAAATCTTGACTTTTACTGTAAAAAATAAATTTGGTCCTGCCCTAATGTCTACTGGGCCTTCAAAAAGGCCACACCTAGACTCAACAGAGAAGCCCAGGAGGTGGAAGGGACCAGGCCAGATCCAAAGATGAAGACAAGATTTGCATACAACTTCAGGAGCCTATATCTGTGTATCTACTAAGAGTTTAATATATGTAGTTTTCACTGAAAGTAATCTCTACTTATGGATTTGCAAAAGTATGAGTTGTCTAAGGTTTGTGATAGGTTTACTATAAGCAACTCATGAACTTAAGATGAGTGTCAACTCCATCAACTATTCATTTCTCTGGTGGCAGGTAGGCACCCAATTACATTATCCTATTTGCTGCTAATATGTTGAAAGTATTGTATACACATATATGGTCTTCTTAGCATTTGTTCAGGCTGACATTACTTACCAGCACAAAGCCTGTGCAGGCAAACAAGACTTCAAACCCGCTGTACAGGAAGTATGGAGCAAGGCAGCGCAAGCGGTAATCTCTGAAATGCTTGAAGGGTAATTGAAAGATGTTCCCCCAGCCTATGCTGCGAAGGTCAATCTCCTCAGTTGGGCGATATGCAGAGCCACAGAGAACCAAGAACTAGGTAGAGAAAAATATAAAAGTGTAAATGCAAAATATTAACCACTTGAGCTCCTGAGGATTTACCCCCCTTAGTGCAGCGCCGAGTAGCAAAAAGAGGCCTGGTCATTAATTCAACTGATAATTGCGCGGTCATGCAATGCTGCACCCAAACAAAATTTACGTCCTTTTTTTCACACAAATAGAGCTTTCTTTCGGTGGTATTTGATCACCTGTGCGCTTTTTATTTTTCACGCTATAAACAAAAAAAGGCAAAAAATTTTGAAGAAAAACAATATTTTTTACTTTCAGCTATAAAAAATATATAGTAAACTCAAAGTTGGTTATAAATGTAGGCCAAAATGTATTCTGCTCCATGTTTTTGGTAAAAAAAAATCCCAATAAGTGTATATTGATTGCTTTGTGTGAAAGATATAGCGTCTACAAACTATGGTATATATACTGCAATTTACGCCATTTTTTTGCTATACAGCGCTGCACTAGTTTAACAGACAATTGCGCGGTCATGCAATACGGTACATAAATGAAATTTACATCCTTTTTTTCCCACATATTGAGCTTTCTTTCGGTGGTATTTGATTGCCTGTGCGGTTTTTATTTTTTGCGCTATAAAAAAAAAAGGCTGACAATTTTGAGGAAAAAAAACAATATTTTGGACTTTTTGCTATAAAACATGTCCAGTAAAAAAAAAAATTAAAAATCAAATTTGTCATAATTTTCTGCCAAAATGCATTCTGCAACATGTCTTTGCTAAAAAAAAACCCCAATATGTGTAAATTAATTGGTTTACGTGAAAGTTATAGCGTTTACAAATGGCGGGAAAGATACTGGGATTTTTAGTTTTTTTTTTTTTTAGTTTTTTTTTTAATAATAATAATGGCGGCGATCAGCGACTTATGGCGGCGATCAGCGACTTATGGCGGCGATCAGCGGCTTATGGTGGGACTGCGGCAGACATTCTGATATTGGGGGGTACTGACTTGGTATCACTGACATCCCCAGTGACACCAATACAGTGATCAGTGCAGAAAAAAACCCACTGACACTGTACTAATGGCACTGGGGAGGAAGGGGTAAAGTTTATTTTTCAAGGAAAGTGTTATCTGTGTGAGGGGAGTGTTTTACTAGGGGGCGGGGGTGTGTACTGCACAGGAGACCGCTGATCGGGAGAGAGAAACTCTTCTGTCCCGATCAGCTTGTCCTAAAGCTGTCAGGGAACTGACAGAAAGCACAGCTCCTGCAGCTGTGCTCTCTGTCAGGGATTGCCGCCGATCGCCGGGAAATAGCCGGTAAGGACCGGCTATGACCCGGCGACTGACATCCGCGGCTGTAATTGGCGGGACAGGTAGGGCGGTGGTGCGCCTCGCGCGCGCCCCCTACCTGTTAACAAAACACACGTTTTAAAACGTGTTTTTGCCCAGCCGTGCCTCCCTGCCACCGTATTTATACAGTGGCTGGGCGGCATGTGGTTAAACACCGTCCTTTCATTTATGATGCCCTCCACAATCCTGTACCAACCATCTGACCTCTCATACAGTTGTGTTCAAAATAATAACAGTCAATCACTGATCAATCACTGTTTTTGGTAGAAATGATATTTCTACATGGCAAATAATTTGCTAGCAGATGTAGTAGAGTAATAGAAATCCAACAGACCCAACAGTCATGACATGCATGCTGCTGATTCTGTGTAATTGAATCACTAATTGAAAGGGGCATGTTCAAAATAATAGCAGTGTGGAGTTCTATTAGTGAGGTCATTCATTCTTTGAACAACAGGTGGCAATTATTGCCCTTATTTAAGGAAGGAAGGCAGCAAATGTACATGCTGGTTACAGTGCATTTCTCTCTGAAATTCTGAGGAAAATGGGTCGTTCCAGACATTGTTCAGAAGAACAGCGTACCTTGATTAAAAAGTTGATTGGAGAGGGGAAAACATATAAAGAAGTGCAGAAAATAATAGGCTGCTCAGCTAAAATGATCGCAAATGCTTTAAAATGGCAACCAAAACCTGAAAGACATGGAAGAAAGCAAAAAACTACCATTCAAATGGATAGAAGAATAGCCAAAATGGCAAGGACTCAGCCAACAATCAGCTCCAGGAAGATCAAAGACGTTACCTGTGAGCACTGTTACAATTAGAAGACGCCTATGTGAAGCCAAGCTATCTGCAAGAAGCCCCCCGCAAAGTCCCACTGTTGAAAAAAAGACGTGCTGAAGAGGTTGCAATTTGCCAAAGAGCACATTGACTGGCCTAAAGAGAAATGGCGCAACATTTTGTGGACTGATGAAAGTAAGATTGTTCTTTTTGGGTCTAGTGGCCGGAGACAGATTGTCAGACGACCCCCAAAACACTGAATTCAAGCCACAGTACACTGTGAAGACAGTGAAGCATGGTTGCGCAAGCATCATGATATGGGGATGTTTCTCATACTATGGTGTTGGGCCTATTTATCGCATACCAGGGATCATGGATCAGTTTGATTACACCAGAATACTTGAAGAGGTCATGCAGCCTTATGCTGAAGAGGAAATGCCCTTGAAATGGGTGTTCCAACAAGACAACGACCCCAAACACACCAGTAAACGTGCAACATCTTGGTTCCAGACCAACAAGATTGACGTTATGGAGTGGCCAGCCCAATCCCCGGATCTTAATCCCATAGAAAACTTGTCGGGTGACAAAAAAATGCAGTTTCTGAGGCAAAACCAAGAAATAGAGAAGAACTGTAGAATGTAGTCCAATCATCCTGGGCTGGAATACCTGTTCACAGGTGCCAGAAGTTGGTTGACTCCATGCAACACAGATGTACAGCAGTTCTCAGAAACAGTGCTTATACAACTAAATATTAATTAAGTGATTCAAAGGAAAGCAAAATCTTCAAACATTTTTCAGTTTATATAGTGAATGTTTGTTTGTAAAGAAGAATACAAACACTGCTATTTTTTTGAACAGTCTAATATTCACTTTTCTTCAATTTTTTTAGAGGAACAACACAAATTTGATATATTTTTCTTCATGTTTTGATTTGGAATAGAATGTGTAGTGTTCCCAATGCATTTGTGTGTATGGAAATAAAAGCTATTCGAAGGATTTTGAGTTTTATTCACTTTTTTCAACACACTGCTATTATTTTGAACACAACTGTATGTCTAGTGATATCCCTTCCTGAACTTCTTTCATCTTCCAGCAGAAGTTCTGCCTAAGACAGGGTTGGACAAATCCCAGGATCCTGTAGCCAATGTTTCTGAAAAAAATTCAGATTTTTGAGGTTTTCTCTAGTCCCCATCTAATGAGCTGGCTCCTAAAATTCCTTGATTGGATAGACTGGCTCCTGAACTCCATATTTGTTGACTATCAAAAAGCTAACACTACAAGACACTAGCAATTGCCAGTTAGCCAGAAAAAGCCCATCTGTGTGCTCCTCTCAACCTGGTTTCTCTTTGTTACAACTAACTCTCTCTAAGACTCTCCCCAAAGCAAAGCATCACCAACCCACTCATTTTGATATTGTCCAATTATTACCACGAGTAGGTTCAGCCCTTTTTGCTTGTAATATGTATTTCCTGCTTAGCAGCACAGAGTTGTGATATATTACTTCTTATTTTTTAATGTACTTCTGTAGATCAATTCAGACCACAATTGATTTACTGAATACAACATAACCCCTCTTCCCCCCAACAGCAGCAAAATAATAAAATCATTCCAAAACATCTATATATATATATATATATATATATATATATATACACATATACTCACCAGTAACTTTATTAGATACATCTTGCTAGTGCCAAGAAAATATTCCCCACACCATTACACCACCACCAGCAGCCATGCTTTCATGATGTTTATGCCAAATTCTGACCCTACCATCTGATAGTCACAGCTGAAATAGAGACTCATCAGACCAGGCAATGTTTTTCCAATCTTCTATTGTCCAATTTTGGTGAGCCTGTGCGAATTGTAGCCTCAGTTTCCTGTTCTTAGCTGACAGGAGTGGCACCCAGAGCGGTCTTCTGCTGCTGTAGGCCATCTGCTGCACGTTTTGATGTATTGAGCTTTCAAAGATGGTATTCTGTATACCTTGGTTGTAAAGAGTGGTTATTTGAGTTACTGTTGCCTTTCTATCATCTCAAACCAGTCTGCCCATTCTCTTCTGACATCAACAAGGCACCCCAGTAGATCAGCAGTTTTTTAAATACTCAGACCTGCCTGATTGGCACCAACAACCATACCACGTTCAAAGTCACTTAAATCCCCTTTCTTCCCCATTCTGATGCTCGGTTTGAACTTCAGCAAGTCGTCTTCACCATGTTGACATGCATTGAGTTGCTGCCATGTGATTGGCTGTTTAGCAATTCGTGTTACCAAGTAATTGAACAGGTGTACCTAATAAAGTGGCTGGTGAGTGTATAGTTCACTTTTTTCTCTACTACCCCCCTCAGCTATCATGGGCTTCCTTGATGGATTATATAATAAGTCCACCAGACAATTAGTAACATATTTGACTATTAAAGTGTAACTAAAGGCAACATATTTTTTTTTTGGACAGAGTGAAGATGGATTAGAACCCCTGTCAGGTTATTATTTTTGTCTGTGTCCCCATTAGAGAGATTCACCCTCTCTAATTGTCCTGTTTACGGTTATTTTGGGTTGTCCCCAGAACAGTAATAGAAGGGAAATCTTCCAATAAGGACACTAGTTCAGGTGAGCTCGGGGCGCCAAGGGATCCCTTAATTTAAAGGCATTTCCTCTCACTTCTTGTTTTAAATATAGGACAGAAAGTGAAGATAAATCTCCCCAATGGGACACAGATGGCAAAAAAACAGGTTATAAACTTACTCTTTGCAAAGGTTTTACCTATAGTTCTACTCTAAGCAGAGAAGCGGACTTGACTTCTACTGTACTCAGTGTAGTACAGAAGGATGTTTACCATAAGTTTTATCACACAAAACATAGTGGAAGACCACTACCACCTCCACACAGAGCACAAAAGTAAATACCTTTACAATTCCACGCTATGGTATATATAATTATCTAAAATGAAGAGATAAAAAGATATATAATTCAATCCACATGAGTGGCCACCACAATATTGCAGATAAATGCACATAAAATAATATATAGAAGTGCAGCGCTTCAAATAATCAAAGAAATTGAACTTAAAGGTCCAATCCACAGAAATAAAAATATATGGAATGAGCCCATCTTCACTGGAGCCTCAGTGCTACTATAGATGTCTCAAAAACAGCCAGGAGCAGATAGAAAAAGTCCACCATCACCAAACACTCTGCCTTTTACCAAATCACATGGACCCCCAGTTGTGTGGATGGGTCAAAATGCACTGTAATAGGCAAGTTGTGCACCTGAGCACTCTTTGGTTCCAAACTTTCACATCAAGAGATGAACTGTAAGATGAACTGAAAACATACACTTGTTTTCTTTAGCAAACCCTTTGCATAGCACCATAGAGCAGCGTTTTTCAACCACTGTGCCGCGGCACACTAGTGTGCCGTGAGATATTGTCTGGTGTGCCTTGGGAAAAATTGCAATTTCATCCGTAACTCACAAATAGACCAATCATTAGAACAGCAATGGGCAAACTACGGCCCGCGGGCCGTATACGGCCCGGCGGACCTTTTAATCCGGCCCGCGGAGCGTGATACTGTCAGGATGATCTGTCCCCCCTCGACGTATCTGCGCATGTGCCGGAGATCGCCGATCGGCTGCTAATGCCTGAAACTGGCACATGTGCAGATACGTCGAGGGGGACAGATCCTCATAGGAGACAGATTTTCATGCTACACCGGAACGGCGAGAGGAACGCGCGGAGCAAAGGTAAGTGAATTGACACAGGGGGGGCTTGGGGACTTAATATGGGGGATGAATTACTATGGGGGATGAATTACTATGGGGGATGAATTACTATATGGGGGATGAATTACTATGGGGATGAATTACTATATGGGGGATGAATTACTATGGGGGATGAATTACTATATGGGGGATTAATTACTATAGGGGGGATGAATTACTATAGGGGGGATGAATTACTATAGGGGGGATGAATTACTATACTATATACTATAGGTAAATTTTTTAACATTTTCTAATGGTGGTGTGCCTCGTGATTTTTTTCATGAAAAAAGTGTGCCTTTGCACAAAAAAGGTTGAAAAACACTGCCATAGAGGACCATTCTTCACTGGTTCCTGGGTCTTCCTTTGATGGAAAGAAACAGATGAGCACAACAGTAGCTCATCTGACTTATAAAAGGTGGAGCCTTGTTATTAAAGCACTAGATCACTAAAAAAAGGCATTATTATTGACCCAGGAACCAATGCCAAGGCCAAGTAATGCCTGTGGAAGGTCATCATGGTTATTAGAGACCATTTTTCCAGTGACCAGGATTGGTCCAGCCTCATGATAGGGTATGGAGTAAAGTTCGGGGTTTTGGTTAAGCGTTAAGCTGAGATTTAGGTCAGTAAAAAAAAAAGTGGTGGCCTGTTGCTGCTGAAAACTTGTGTGTTATTTTTAAAATCTTGAAAAACAACATGTGCTTACCAGCAGCATAGCTAGAAGTGCTGCCCCCATGAGAACGCTTTCCACATGGATGAGACTGATACTAGGGGGTAGAGAGTGAAGGACAGTGACGTTGAACCCCTTTGGGAGGACTCCACGTTGAATTGAAGCACCTGTATGGATGAAAAGGATTACTCAGTTTCAAACGTTACTAGATAAAGATGTGCATAACAAACTATTTTTATTATTATTTTTTAAATGTTAGCCAGCAAATCCACTCAAAACTTGGAGTAGGAATGTGAAGACACTGAAATTTCATTTCATTATATTCATTTTTGGAATTTGTTTCCTATATTCGGATTTGCTTCATATATTTTCGTTATTTTCAAATCGATTGCAAATTAGAATTTTGGAAACGGCTATATTCGTTCCATTTTTACCTATTCTATTCTTTTCTATTCCTTTATATTCTAGTTCTTTGTTTAATTTTATTTCTTACGGGTACTTATGTAGCGCCATCATTTTTGTGTATAGTCAGAGGCTTGCTAGAAACCTTGGTATGAGTCAGCCTGGGTGTGAGTCAGCAAGGTTTTATGTAAGGGCTGGATGGCTCTACAGGTTAGTCTTCTGGTACCTCCCCCTGTTCTGGAGACTTGGAGAAGTTTCTAGAAGCCAGTAGGCAGGGGTGAGGAGGGCTCATCTGCATACTTACGAGAATTGGGCCAATCCTCAGGAAGGAGGCCTGGCATGGTAGCTAGGTCAGACCTTACATATGACAAAGCCTGATTAGCTTGGGAGTCAGGTGGAAGATGGATTGCTGAGAGGTGTTGCTGTGTAGCCTGAGAGGGAGCCCTGGAAGAAGGGCGTTCTGCTTCCAGGCTGGAGGCTGGAAGCTGAAAGAGGGAGCTCCACTGCCCTGCAGTCCACTGGGAAAGGACAGCCTGCAAAGCTCGGAGAGGAACCAGCCCAGCTATAGAGGCCTGAAAGCAGTTCTATCCACAGCGGCAGGACAAGGACAGTGTGAGTACCTCTACACCCCCAGAGCCTAGAAGGGAGAGGTCTGCTTGATGCAAGTTCTAGAAAGTCTTCAGGGGACAGTTTATAGCTTATCAAAACACCTGTCCTGGGATCAGATACCATACCAGGTGGGCTGGTATTCTGTGCAACGAAGGGACCAAGAGCTTCTACACATTAACACAATGCTAAAATCCACTCAGGGGACACCAAGCTCCTAGAAGGGGATTACTCTACTAAGGACTGTGATGGTTCTGACTGGAACACAGTCAAGTATCTGTCGTTTTTTCTGTTTCTAAGTGTGCTTGAGAGGAAAAACTCATTCTGCTGTTTCTTCAAACTGGACATCCATAACCTTTTACCCGATCCATGTTTAACCCCTTAATAAAACAAAAAAAACCAAACCCATGGACTGTTTCTTGTGTCTGAAAAATATGTGTTGCCTGGCTGTGCAGAGATTAGGGGGGACCCAAAAACGTAAAAGCCCTCAAGAGGGTAGTGCTACATTAATCTCTTATATTTTTCTGGTAATATGCAAACTATGATCTCCGGTATAAAACTACAAGCAAATGGATGCATTTTCCCGTACAGCATTTCGGCCACCAAAGAATATCCGGCAAAAATTAAGCCGATACAGGAGACTATGCATACTGCAGATGTGAGGATTGGGGGGGGGGGGGGGGGGGGGGGGGGGGGGGGAACAGCTGAGAAAGGCAGGAGAGGATTAGTGTATAGAGTGACTGATTGTCACTATATGTCAGTGCCGGTTTTTAAATATAATTACCGGCTTTTCTTTTTTTCTTCACTATAGTTCACAGAATCAGCTGTCACTTTCCCCCCAGCTAAAAGAAACAAAGTTTCCTTTTAGTTTATTACCCAAGATAAAAGAAACAATGTTTCCTTTAGCTCCAGGGAAAGTGACAGCTAATTCTGTGAGCTATAGTGAAGAGAAAAAAAAATAAGGAAATTGCATTTAAAAACTGGCACCGGCAAATAGTGAAAGCCAGTGAGGGAGCCTCTCTGTATACACTGCTCCCTTACTGAAACAAGCTTTAAGGAAAGTTGTGAGCGCTATAAGTGAAATAAAGTGGCCAAGCATCAAAAAAGGATACCAAAAAACCTTGCAAACACATAAAATATAAAGGATGCGGCACTATATCACAACTATAATTATGCAAAAACGTCCAAGATATATAGTGATTAGGTGACTAATGAAAACACAAACATTATGTCACAAGCAGAGTAACATGCAGTGCAAAATAGTCTTAGTGACAATCCCTCTCCTTCAAAAAGTGCTTCTTCCACGCGGTGATAGTGAGAAGGGCAAGGCTGTGCACTCACCAGATGCACAGTTTAACTGCGCATTTAAAGATGAACTCTTTACTGGATCCGCTGGTAGCTCCTAAAAGTCAGGTCAGGCCAGATATTCCTCCCCCTGCTGGGTGTTGCTGACAATCCACGGTCTCCCCTTTGGGTGGCTCTATAGGTGATAGGTGACTCACCAAGGGCCACAAAGAAAGGAGACCAATAGCGTGATACCGTTTTTAATGGTTTGGATTTTATTTCCATACAGTATACAGGTAAAGGAATAAAAAAAACACTGACCATGAGGTGAATTTAAAAGATGGCCGCCGGGACCTCCATGGTGCCGGCGGCAGAGAGATAATGACGCTGTAGCTCCTTCTGTGACGCGTTTCGTGCTAATCGCACATCATCAAAGGGGAAAGCTTTCATCTTTAAATGCGCAGTTAAACTGTGCATCTGGTGAGTGCACAGCCTTGCCCTTCTCACTATCACCGCGTGGAAGAAGCACTTTTTGAAGGAGGGATTGTCACTAAGACTATTTTGCACTGCATGTTACTCTGCTTGTGACATAATGTTTGTGTTTTCATTAGTCACCTAATCACTATATATCTTGGACGTTTTTGCATAATTATAGTTGTGATATAGCGCCGCATCCTTTATATTTTAACTGCTCCCTTACTGTATACACTCCTCTCCTGCCACCTCCTTGCACACACTGTCCCCCACCCCCTCCCCCCTACAAAGAGGACCTGTCACTCATATGCCATCACATAGGGAACTATTGGTTCCCTATGTGATAGCAATAAAATCATAAGTTAAAAAAAAAAATAATATATATATATATGAAAGTAGAAAAAAAAATAATTGGAGCCTCCCCACCCCCACATACGCAGACATTTTGATTTAGTTTTCGGCCACATGCATTATGAATTTTCGGTATCGGTTTCAGCACCAGAAGTATTGAAAGACTCACATTAACACTCAAGCTGGTCATACACGTTTTTTTTTTCTCCACAAACGAGGTGGATGGAGCATTACCCCATGCCGGGATATTGTGTTCTAACAGTGGCTTCTGCTGATGTCAAAACACATTTACCAGCTGCTGCAGCCCCTGATCGAGAAATATTTTCCAACTTGTCTGTTCACCAGAAATCGATCAAACAATCAACTTCTTTTGAGAAAGAACTGCCACACACTGATCGAATTTCAGCTGCCATTCAGAGTACGGCCAGCTTATGTGTCAGCTGATGATAAATCACGAGATTTTTAGAAGTGTAAAGTCAGCCATACATGGATCCAAATTAGGTTGGTTCAGCAGGGACTGGACGAAATTTGAACCATGTACTGTATGGGCAGGCTGATTTTACCGTCGATCCATCAATCAACTTGGGTACAACCAGCCTGTCAGATTTTTTACATACAATTACTGCCGCGGCTAAAGCCAATAGTGGTAATCATTGTGGTCCGTTGTCCAGGAAGGACACCCCCAACACAATAGCATTGCCCCGAGGCATTACCCTATCAACACTGACTGTGTTGATGAGGGAATCGAGTGATTTTCTTTTATTCCATCTGTGGTGGAAGGAAAGAAAATCGAATCATCTATGGCACGTGTCAAACACAAATCTGGCCCGCCAAGCCATTTCATGTGGCCTTCGCACCTCTCCTGTAGCTGTGGCACCCCCCTCTTTTCTGCCCCCACCTTGTCTCAGTAGTCAGCAGCAGAGAGGGGGATAGAACTCTCTCACCAGATCCTGCACCTCTTTGTGCAACTGCAGAGAGGCTGATCTCTGCCCCCTCCCCATTTCAGCAATTGGCAGCAGAGAGGAGGACAGAACTCTTCCTAAAGATCTCTCTGTGCAGCCGCAGCACCCCCTTGTCTCCATCTCCCCCGGTCTCAGCATTCAGCAGACTTCAGCAGCTAACTTTAGCCCTTCTGTGGTCCTCCTCCAGACCCTGAATTTTCTGTTTTACAACTCTGCCCCCAGCTTCTTCCTGGCAGCAACACAAGGTAAGGGAGGTGCACTGTGGTGTAAGGGAGCCCCCCCCCCAACACATACACCCAAAACCCTCCCTGTGTACCATATGCCTCTCCCTGCTGCCCAGGCCCAACTGTGTTCCCCCCAACCCCGCAGTGCTCCTTCCCACTGGCAGCTGCAAGCACGCAATAGGATCCTTCAGGATAGAGAGTAGAGGAAGGGGCCAGTAAATATGTCACATTTACCAGCCCCATCCTTTCCTGAATTAACACAATGAGTGATCAGTACTGATCACTCACTGTGTTCATTCATAACTGAAACATAGCAAACTGTGTTTTTGTGGTGGGGAGGGGACCCTGTCCGGTTGGCTGTATGGGGCCCCATGTTTTCCAGCAGACCTGGATACAACCAGCCCTTTGAGGGCAACCAATATGCTGATGTGGCCCACAATGAAATTGAGTTTGACACCCCTTATCTATGGGTTGCTTAAGGATCACTTAAACTATTCACTTCTTTACTCACATTCATCATTTTACTGCATCAGATTAACGGTTGATAGGGATACAAATGGACCTCAAAAGACTGCAGTTTTGAGTATATAAATACAAATAAAATCAAACAAAACAAGTTTAACTGCTTTCCCTCCACCCTATAGCAGATATTCTCCTACAGGGCGGCCGGGGTGCGCAAAATCACGTATATTATTATTATACAGGATTTATATAGCGGCAACAGTTTGCGCAGCGCTTTGCAAAATGAAGGTAGACATTACAGTTACAATACAATTTGGTACAAGAGGAAACAGAGGGCCTGGCTCGTTAGAGCTTACAATCTAGGAGATACGTGATTTTGCATTTCCGGGCAGGGGGCGTGCGTGAGCCCTACCCGCGCCACTATTTGCGGCCTCGGCTGTCAATCACCAGGTCCCGGACGGTGATTACTCGCCGGCACCTGGAGATCGAGGAGCATTACTGATGGAGGGAGAGAACTGTAAGTAAACAATACAGATCTCTCCCCTGTCAGCTTCTGCACACTGTTATGCATAGCTTTGCATAGCTGAGCCATACAAAGCAGTGTGCTTACAGTGAAGCACACATACAGCACATAGTAATACAGCACACAGTTAACCCTTTGATCACCGCAGATGTTAACCCCTTTCTGCCCAGTGCCATTAGTACAGTCTCAGTGATCGCCACCATTACTAGGAGAAAAAAAATCCCTCTTGGCCCAGTGTATTACACTATGCTGTTTTTTGGTATGGCAATTTGATTTTTTATGTATCTGGAGGGAACCTGGTTCATTTTCATTTATGGTGGCATCCACTACTTGCCTTATTATTGTATGCTTGTTCTGTGAAAAAGCTATATAAAAAAAAAATTCCAGTATCTGTACCACCATTTGTATACGCTATACATTTCACGTAAACCAATTAATTTACAGGTGTTGGGATTTTTTTTTTTTTAGCAAAGACATAATGCATTTTGCCCTAAATTTATGATGACATTTGATTTTTTACAATTACAATACCACCGTAAGAAAACTCTATTTGTGTGCTTACACAGTAAAACACAGACAGCACACAGTCAACTCATTCATTGCCCCAGATGTTAACTCCTTCCTGCCCAGTGCCATTAGTAGTGTCAGTGCTTTTTATTAGCACTAACCACTGTATTAGTGTCCCTGGGGATGTCAGTGACAGTTAGTCTGTCCCCCCAGTGTCAGAATGCCCACCGCAGTCCTGCAGTCCCACTATAAGTCGCCGATTGCCGTCATTACTAGTATAGAAAAAAAAATCCCAGTATATACTACGCCATTTGTAGATGTTATAATGTTCACGTAAACAAATTAATTTACACGTATTGGGATTTTTTTTTTAGCAAAGACATGGAGCAGAATACATTTTGACCTAAATTTATGACGAAATTTGATTTTTAAAATTTTTTTTACTGGACATGTTTAGTAGCAAAACGTCAAAAAAATATATTTTTTTTTCAGAATTGTCAGTCTTTTTTTGTTTATAGCGCAAAAAAACCCCCACAAAATGTACAGATGATCAAATACCACCGTAAGAAAGCTCCATTTGTGTGCTTACACAGTAAAACAGAGACAGCACACAGTTAACTCATTGATCGCCCCAGATGTCAACCCCTTCATGCTCAGTGTCATTAGTAGGTGGCACAGTGGCTTAGTGGTTAGCACGTGTGCCTTGCAGTAAATGGGTCATGAGTTCAATTCCTGACCATGGTGCCTCCTGCATGGAGTTTGCATGTTCTCCCTGTGCTTGCGTGGGTTTCCTCCGGGTACTCCTGTTTCCTCCCACACTCCAAAGCCATGCTGGTAGGTTAATTGGCTCCTGTCTAAATTGTCCTAGTTTCTATGTGTATGTATGAATATGAGTTAGGGACCTTAGATTGTAAGCCCCTTGAAGGTTAGGGACCGATGTGAATGTACAATATATATATGTAAAAGCGCTGTGTAAATTGATGGTGCTATATAAGTACCTGAAATAAATTAGTACACTTTTTATTAGCACTGATCACTGTATTGGTGTCACTGGGGATGTCAGTGACAGTCAGTTCCCCCCCAGTGTCAGAATGCCCACCGCAGTTCCACTATAAGTCGCTGATTGCCGCCATTACTGGTATAGAAAAAAAATCCCAGTATATATAGCTCCATTTGTAGACGCTATAACTTTCATGTAAACCAATTAATTTACACATATTTGTATTTTTTTTTTTAGCAAAGACATGGAGCAGAATATATTTTGCCCTAAATTTATGACGAAATTTCATTTTTTTTTTTTTTTCACTGGACATGTTTAGTAGCAAAACGTCAAAAATATTTGTTTTTTCTCAGAATTGTTGGTCTTATTTTGTTTATAGCGCAAAACCCCCCCCACAAAATGCACAATTAATCAATTACCACCAAAAGAAAGCTCTATTCATGGGGAAAAAAAGGACGTAAATTTCATTTGGGTGCAGCGTTGCATGACCGCCCAATTTTCAGTTAAAATACACAGCGCTGTAACGCAAAAAATGGCCTGGTCAGGAAGGGGGAGGGGGAAATTCTCTGGAGGTCAAGTGGTTAAACCAGGGGTGGGCAAACTTTTTGACTTGAGGGCCGCAATGGGTTCATATATTGGACCCGGGGGCCGGACCAAGAGTAGATGAATGATGTGTATGTGTCATCCATAGTAAGTATAGTAATATTCCCCCATAGTAAGCATAGTAATTAATCCCCCATATAGTAATTCATCCCCCATAGTAATTCATCCCCCATATAGTAATTCATCCCCCATATAGTAATTTGTCCCCCATATAGTAATTCGTCCCCCATAGTAATTCATCCCCCATATAGCAATTCATCCCCCATATAGCAATTCATCCCCCATATAGTAATTCATCCCCCATATAGTAATTCATCCCCCATAGTAATTCATCCCCCACATAGTAATTCATCCCCAACATAGTAATTCATCCCCCATATTAATTCATCCCCCATATTAATTCATCATCCCCCATATAGTAATTCATCCCCCATATAGTAAGTCCCCCATATAGTAAGTCCCCCATATAGTAAGTCCCCCATATAGTAATTCATTCCCCATATAGTAAGTCCCCCATATAGTAAGTCCCCCATATAGTAATTCATTCCCCATATAGTAAGTCCCCCATAGTAATTCATTCCCCATATAGTAAGTCCCCCATATAGTAATTCATTCCCCATATAGTAAGTCCCCCATATAGTAATTCATTCCCCATATAGTAAGTCCTCCATATAGTAATTCATTCCCCATATAGTAAGTCCCCCCTATAGTAATTCATTCCCCATATAGTAAGTCCCCCATATAGTAATTCATCCCCCATATAGTAAGTCCTCCATATAGTAATTCATTCCCCATATAGTAAGTCCCCCATAGTAATTCATTCCCCATATAGTAAGTCCCCCATATAGTAATTAATTCCCCATATAGTAAGTCCCCCATATAGTAATTCATCCCCCATATAGTAAGTCCTCCATATAGTAATTCATCCCCCATATAGTAAGTCCCCCATATAGTAATTCATCCCCCATATAGTAAGTCCTCCATATAGTAATTCATCCCCCATATAGTAAGTCCTCCATATAGTAATTCATCCCCCATATAGTAAGTCCCCCATATAGTAATTCATTCCCCATATAGTAAGTCCCCCATATAGTAATTCATTCCCCATATAGTAAGTCCCCCCTATAGTAATTCATTCCCCATATAGTAAGTCCCCCATATAGTAATTCATCCCCCATATAGTAAGTCCTCCATATAGTAATTCATCCCCCATATAGTAAGTCCCCCCATATAGTAATTCATCCCCCATATAGTAAGTCCTCCATATAGTAATTCATTCCCCATATAGTAAGTCCCCCATATAGTAATTCATTCCCCATATAGTAAGTCCCCCATATAGTAATTCATTCCCCATATAGTAAGTCCCCCATAGTAAGTAGTAATTCATCCCCATATAGTAAGTCCCCCATATAGTAATTCATTCCCCATATAGTAAGTCCCCCATATAGTAATTCATTCACCATATAGTAAGTCCCCCATATAGTAATTCATTCACCATATAGTAAGTCCCCCCTGTGTCAATTCACTTACCTTTGCTCCGCGCATTCCTCTCGTATTCCCGCGCCGTTCTGGTCTTCAGGGAGGACTGTAGAGGAGAAGAGTTCGTCACGCTGCCCCGCCTACATCCTGGCTGCCCCGCCTACATCCTGACAGCTGCAGAGTCCTGACGCCCGAGAGGAGGGAGGGGGCGGCCATCCGAGAGGTGGGGCGGCCATCCGAGAGGAGGGGAGGGGGGAGAGGAGGAGAGGAGGAGAGGAGGGAGGGGAGCGGGCGCCCGGCACACAGGAGAGCCGCATCTAAGTTTGTAAAGAGCCGCGGCTTGCCGACCACTGGCCTTGCGGGAGCCTAGCTCCGCGGGCCGGATTAAAAGGTCCGCCGGGCCGTATACGGCCCGCGGGCCGTAGTTTGCCCATTGCTGGGTTAAACCCTGCAAGTATGCAAAATAAAGGTTTTCTAAAGCAGGAAGGGAAATTAAAAGAATCAATATGATTTTTCACTTCCATTTGACCTTTCTTCAGCTTTTACACAAAGTCTGTATATGATATTACTAAGAGCCGGCACACCTACCACAGTCATGCACGTTGAAGAGCGTGTGGTTACATGAATACAGGAACTTGTTGAGGAAGAAGTACACAGGAAACTGGGACAGGACAAAGCTCAACTGTAGATAAAAAAAACAGCAAATATCAACAGAATAAAATGACATAACCCTATACTTGTCCATAATTCACTTTATAGTATATTGTGAGAGCATCAGTTTTACAATAGTGTTTGTCAATGTGCTTGAGGTGCACCACCAATACTTTAGGACTATGGGAGTAACTAGCCTTTAAGATGCCTGCGGTGTAGAACTATGGTAGCGAGTCACACAGCCTTTCACAGTTAAGCGCATTCTGATATCTTCTAACTTGCACTCTCCTGGGTTTCAGACCTGTTGACTCAGTCTTTACAGAGTAGTAGAAGAAATAACACATGTGTGCGTTCCACTGTTGGTGGAATACAAGTGACAGGAATCTTGAGCAGCGGATAAACATCAAATTTTACAAGGAAATTGGCAAAAGTGCAAGTAAAAGTTTAACTCTATTGCAGGGGCGGACTGACAACTCATGGGGCCCCCGGGCAATAGGGGATCATGAGGCCCCTGTGTCCTTGCCCACACTCAAAGCACACCCAAAAAAAGCCTATAAAAAGGTAACAGGGGCATTTCATGGGCCCCCCTACTGACCCCGGGCCCTCGGGCAGTGCCCGAGTGCTCGAATGGTCAGTCCGCCCCTGCTCTATTGCAACAGGCTTCTGGGGAACATTCCATGAAGAAATCCAGTGTTTTGAATGGCATAGGCGATTTAAGGAAGGGCGGGAAAATGTCCACGATGACACAAGAATGGTCTATCAACATTGTTAGTTGGAAATTCTGAAAAGGTTACAGGAATCTGTGTTTAGAGGAAAAGACTGGAACTCTGGCCTGACAAGTGGATTCTCCACCATGACAATGTTCCTGCACATAGACCGTTAAAGTGCTACTAAACTCAAGACCCTGCTTTCACTATATCTGGTCTCCCAGGACCCTGTATTCTCTATATTTGGTCTCCCACAGTACATAGTCTCCTTTTTTAAACAGTCCAAGTGGATTCTCCACCACGACAATGCTCCTGCACGTAACGCTTTAAAGTGTTACTAAACTTAAGACTGTGCTTTCACTATATCTGGTCTCCCACAGTCCACAGTCTCCCTTTTTATGCAGTACAAGTGGATTCTCCACCACGACTATGCTCCTGCACATAACGCGTTAAAGTATTACTAAACCCAGGACCCTGCTTTCACTATATCTGGTCTCCCATGATACACAATACAAGTGGATTCTCCACCACGACAATGCTCCTGAACATAAAGCGTTATAGTGTTACTAAAACCCGAGACCCTGCATTCACTATATCTGGTCTCCCACAGTACACAGTCTCCCTTTTTACACAGTACAAGTGGATTCTCCACCACGACAATGCTCCTGCACATAACGCGTTAAAGTGTTACTAAACCCAAGACCCTGCATTCACTATATCCAGTCTCCCCGGACCCGGCATTCACTATATCCGGTCTCCCCAGACCCTGAATTCACTATATCCGCTCTCCCCGGACCCTGCATTCACTATATCCGCTCTCCCCGGACCCTGCATTCACTATATCCGCTCTCCCCGGACCCTGCATTCACTATATCCGCTCTCCCCGGACCCTGCATTCACTATATCCGCTCTCCCCGGACCCTGCATTCACTATATCCGCTCTCCCCGGACCCTGCATTCACTATATCCGCTCTCCCCGGACCCTGCATTCACTATATCCGGTCTCCCCTAACCCTGCATTCACTATATCCGGTCTCCCCGGACCCTGCATTCACTATATCCGGTCTCCCCGGACCCTGCATTCACTATATCTGGTCTCCCAGGACCCTGCATTTACTATATCCGCTCTCCCAGGACCCTGCATTCACTATATCCGCTCTCCCAGGACTCTGCATTCACTATATCTGCTCTCCCCAGACCCTGCATTCACTATATCTGGTCTCACAGGACCCTGCATTCACTATATCCGCTCTCCCATAGTAGACAAAACATGGAAATGCAATTATTTTAGTAAATATAAACTGATAAATACCTTTTCTCATCAGCAGTATATAGCAGTCTTGTGACTTCTATCAGTGTCCAGCTGAGCACTGGTTAAAGCTTGTAGGAGGAGTTTTCATTCTGCTCTGACTGTTCTATGAGGCTGCATAACCCCTGACCCACTGTCTGGATAATCTTGATTGGCCCTGTGCTGATTACATGCACCCTCCCAAAGAAAAAAAAAAACTCTCTAGCAAAACATACTAAACTGAGCATGTACAGAATGACTCCTATAGCTATGTATTATCAGCAGCTGGATTGGAGACTGTGGAAGAAGGGGAGGATCAGAGAAGACTGAATCAAACAGCCTTTTTACACAATGAGGAAGATTAACCCCTTAGGTTTCACAGTGAGCATAAAAGCATGCTTTATTGCAAATACAGACTGATGTCACTGTTGTGGAATTAGTAACACTTTAAGTGTTCGCAAGTTCCTTGCCCAGAAATAGATTCTGAAACTTGACCAACCTCCTTATTCCCCTGAATTTAGCACCCTGCAACTTTTGGCAGTTTCCAGAATTTAAAAAAAAAAATCCTTAAAAAGACACAGATTTCATGACATTCTGGATATCCAGCGCACCCCAACAAAGGTACTGTGCATTGTTCCACAAAACAAATTCCAGGAAAGTACTTTCTGTGTTTTTTTAACGAAAACATAACTGCATTAGTTTGTGTTTTTATATCTGCTTGGAGATTTAAAGCCTAAGTTTAGTTGAAAAAAAAAAAAAAAATCTGCACAAGCGACAGTACCTACAATAAGTGCGAAGTGTTCCCTGTGCTGCTGGCTGCAGTTTTCGTTGAAATCTGAAGTTCACTGATCCCCCACTATGAGGTCTCTGTAAATAGAAGAGGGGGCCAAAAGGGCGGGTATAGTCAGCACTCTTAATGAGTGACAGTTTCTTTAGCATGAATTAACCCCTGCAGCACCAGAAGATTATGGTTGCAGGGGTTAATACGAACCAAAGGACGTATCACAGGCACTTGTCAAGAGTACCAAATTATATCCGCCCTTTTGGCCCCCATCTTCCATTCACAGAAGCTGTACTTCAGCTTCCATGAATGAAGAGAGATCTATGAATGGAGGAAATACAAAGTTCATTGAATCCCTCATTCTCCATTCACAAATTGTTTACATTTTCCTGGCACTAAATTGAATTACTCAGGGACAAATTTATGGACAGTGGCCATTTGGATGACAGAGAACCTACAAGCAGGAACATTCTAAGGCCCCATGTACACGGGACACTTCTGAACAATGGAAACTGACTGCTGGAAAACGTAGATTAAAAAAAGTCTGTTTATCCGAGTATGTATAACGCGTTTATGCGCATTTGCGTCTAGAAGCGTTTTTTTAAAGATAAGCTCAGAAGAACCTCCCAAATGCCCAGAATGCACTGAAAAGTGGTAAATTGTTAACTATTTCAGACTGTTTCAGAGAAATACAGAGAGTAGAAGCAGAGACAGCAGTATGTGTTGAGATTAGCTTAGGTGTGAGTTGCTCATTAACATTTATTTTGTTTCCAAGGGTGGGAAAGGTGTCTGGTGGAGGGAGTCATTAAGGCCACCTAACAGGGGGTCTTCAAGAGGAATATGAGGTGTGAATGGTCATTAACATATCTTTTGATTCCAAGGGTGGGAGAGGTCTGAGGTGTGAATGGTCATTAACATATCTTGTTTCCACAGGTGGGAGAGGTCTGAGGTGTGAATTGGTCATTACAATGTGTGACAAGCTTGGTAGGAACATCCTGTGTTCAATGTCTTGTCCATCTGAGTACCTTGAAAACACTTTGCATGCACTTTTCATGATGAAAAAAGGCTCTGGACAGCATTGGGAACTGGAAGAGTTTAAAAAAAATTTCAAATGCTTATAAATGCGATTTGCCGCGTTTACAAGCGTTTTGCGTTTGAAAGGCTGATAAAATCAACTGCTGAACGCAAGTTTTCTGTGTTCAAAAAACTCAAATGCCTGTAAATGACTGTAAACAAAGATGTGTAAATGGACACATAGAAAACATTACATTAGGGTGAGTTCAGGGGCTGCTGAAAAAACTGAACAGCTCCTAAACGTCAGTTTATCAGCTGCAGTGTACATGAGCCCTAAGTGGGAACTTACATGGAAAATGGAATAGAAGATACTCTGAAAAATGATGATGTATTTGTGGCTGGCTCCTCGCGGCACACGGCGCTGCTCCCTGACGTGTTCTTCTCTGTAGTTCACAAACTCGTAATACTTCTGAGCCATCCTATAGTCAAATATAGAATCAAGTATAAAGGAAAAAAAAAAATTATAGGGGAAAATAAAAAAAGTGGCCTACACAATTTTTAGTTATCCGCTTCCCGACTGCCCTATAGCAGAACTACTGCTACAGGGTGGCAAAGCTGCGCAAAATCCTGTGCATATATATATATGTGATTTTGTATTTCTGCCATTAGCGGTTACAGCTGTTGATCACCGGGTCCTGGATGGAGATTCCCCAAGATTGCAAGGAACACTGTAAACAATACAGATCTCTTCCCTGTCAGCTCCAACATGCTGCTTTGTATGGCTCTGCGTAGCACAGCCATACAAAGCAGCGTGCTTACACAGTAAAACACACACAGCACACAGTTAACCCTTTGATCGCCCCACATGTTAACCCCTTCATGCCCAGTGCCATTAGTACAGTGTCAGTGCTTTTTATTAGCACTGATTAGTGTCACTGGAGATATCAGTGACAGTTAGTAAGTTCCACCCAGTGTCAGAATGTCCGCTGCAGTCCCGCTATAAGTCGCTGATCGCCGCCATTACTAGTATAGTAAAAAAAAAAAAAAAAATTCCCAGTATATAAACCGCCATTTGTAAACGCTATAACTTTCAAGTAAACCAATTCATTTACACCTATTGGGATTTTTTTTTCAGCAAAGACAGAAGACATTTTGGCCTAAATTTATGACAAACATTGATTTTTTTAAATTTTTTTTATTGGACAGGATTAATAGCAAAAAGTCAAAAATATTGTTTTTCTTTCAAAATGGTTGGTCTTTTTTGGTTTATAGAGCAAAAAAAATAAAAATACCACCGAAAGAAAGCTCTATTAGTGTGGAAAAAAGGACATACATTTCATTTGGGTGCAGTGTTGCATGACTGCGCAATTGTCAGTTAAAGTAGCACAGTGCTGTATCACAAAAAATGGCCTGGTCAGGAAGGGGGGTAAATCCTCTGGAGGGCAAGTGGTTAAAGGAAATTATATCTAGGCACCTGTCTGAGGGCACAGCTGATGTTCAATTCAGACTTGGCCTAAAACACAGGGAAAAAAATGGGTCCCAGGTCTGATGATTGGGCAATAAAGGAACAGTACCTTGATCACTTGGCTCACACTGCACTTTCCCACTGTCAGTGGGCTCACTGCCAGCACAGGTGTACTGCAGCAAAGCCTGATTGGCTCCTAGTGCTTCCCCTTCCTCTCCCAGTCTGAGTGCTGCTGTACAAGGGATCACAGGAAGCTGATTTCAAGGTAAAGTCATGTACGTCTGCTGCATGTGAAAGTACATTCAGTGTTTTTTTTTTAATGAAAACATAACTGCATTAGTTTGTGTTTTTATATCTGCTTGAAAATTTAAATCCTAAATTTAGTTAAAAAAAAAAATTTGCACAAGCGACAGTACCTACAGTCAGTGCAAAGTGTTCCCTGTGCTGCTGGCTGCGGTTTTAGTTGAAATCTGAAGTTCACTGATCCCCCACTATGAGGTCTCTGTGAATGGAACAGGGGGCCAAAAGGGCGGGTATAGTCAGCACTCTTAATAAGTGACAGCTCCTTTGGCATGAATTAACCTGAAGATTATGGCTGCAGGGGTTAATGCGAGCCAAAGGACTTATCACAGGCACTTGTCAAGGGTACCAAATTATATCCACCCCCTTTGTCCCCCATCTTCCATTCACAGAAGCTGTACTTCAGCTTCCATGAATGAAGAGAGATCTACAGTATGAATGGAGAAAATACAAAGTTCATTGAATCCCTCATTCTCCATTCACAGAAGTACATAATTCATACTCGGCACTTTTGACTAGTACTTATCACAGGTCCAGTACTCATAAAACTGCCCCCACCACCAGAATACTGCCAATGTGGGAGGGGGGCAGAGGATTTTGAATTCCAACTAGGACAGCCAGCACCAGTACAGTCACATTTATTGTAAGTACTGTTCCTGTTGTAAGTATGGAGGGTGGGGGCAGAGGATTTTGAATTTCAACTTGACCAGCCAGAACCAGTAAAAAATGTGTATTTATTATTTTTGGTTGCAGGAGCCTGTAAAGCATGGCACCAGTGATCAGCAGATCAGCTCCCGATGTACACAGGACGATGTGTTTTGGCACACTGACCTATGAAGGTCAGTGCTCCCTGTGACTATGCATGCTGCCGCCTGTTGGCATGTTGCAAAACTAGTCTGGAAACTTTTTGATACCACCTCCTATGTTAACTTCTGTGTACATTTTCAGTGCTATATACACTCACCAGCCCCTTTATTAGGTCCACCTTGCTAGTAACGGATTGGACCCCCTTCTGCCTTCCGAACTGCATTCATTCTGCATGGCATAGATTTAACAAGCTGTTGAAAACCTTCCTCAGAGATTTTGCTTCATATTGACATGAGTTACTGTTGCCTTTCTATCATCTCCAATCAGTCTGCCCATTTTCCTCTGACATCACAAGGCATTTTCCTCCACACAACTGCCGCTCACTGGATATTTTCTCTTTTTCGGACCATTCTCTGTAAACCCCAGAGATGGTTGTGTGTGAAAATCCCAGTAGATCAGCAATTTTTGAAATACTCAGACCAGCCCGTCTGGCACCAACAACCATGCCACCTTCAAAGTCACTTAAATCCCCTATCTTCCCCATTCTGAGGCTCGGTTTAAACTTCAGCAAGTCGTCTTTGTTATGTCTAGATGCCTAAATGCAGTTGCTGCCATGTGATTGGCTGATAAGCAATTTGTGTTGCCAAACAGCAGGTGTACTTTATAAAGTGGCCGGCGAGTGTAAATATGTACAGTATATGTAAAAAAAAATAAAATAAAATATGCAGCCTTACTATAAAACAGTAATAAACTGAGAGGGTTCAAATGAGCTTTAATTTCCCTGATTAATTAGAAGAAGTGCATGTTAAATTTGCATGCAATCTTTAAATATACTTTTTCTTTAACCTTTTGGCACCAGCCAAACGCAAATGTGCGGCCCCTCGGCGTCTGAGCCTAGACGCCGAGGGGCCGCACATTTGCATTCTATTAAAAAAAAATATGTGCTGAGAGTGCGTGTCCTGCGCGCTCCCAGCACACACGTTCGGTACTCACAGAAAGGTCCCGATCACCTCTTGCGATCGGGACCTTTCTTGATCATGTGACTGCCGTGACAGCGAATCATGGCGGTCAGATGACCCTAAAACCCCGCCCCCCTCCCGGCTTCTGGAACCCTTAAAGGGCCGGGAGGCGTCGGCTCCAAGGGGTTAAGTTGCCTTTATGGGATATGACATATAGATTTATGCTCATAACACTCATTTACAGTTGCAAGAAAAAGTATGTGAACCCCTTGGGATTACGTGGAGTTTTGCATGAATTGGGCATAAAATGTGCTCTGAACGTCATCTAAGTCACAACAAAAAAAGAACACAGTCTGCTGAACATAATACTACACAAACATTAGATGTTGCCATGGTTTAATTGCACATAACATGTAAGCATTCACAGTGCAGGGAGGAAAAAGTATGTGAGGCCCTAGCTTAATGACTTCTCCCAGAGCTAATTGGAGCCAGGAGTGAGCCAACCTTGACTCCAATCAGTGTGATGATATTGGATGTGTTGCTGACAGCTGTCCTGCCCTTAAAAAAACACACACCTGTTTTGGGTTTACTGGTTTCAAGAAGCACTGTCTGATGTGAAACATGCCTCGCAGAAAAGAGCTCTCAGAAGACCTACGATCAAGAATTGTTGACTTGCATGAAGCTGGAAAGGGTTACAAAAGTATCTCCAAAAGCCTTGATGTTCATGTGTCCACGGTAAGACAGACTGTCTACAAATGGAGAAAGTTTAGCACTGTTGCTACTCTCCCTAGATGCGGTCGTCCTGTAAAAATGACTGCAAGAGCACAGCGCAGAATGCTGCATGAGGTAAAGAAGAATCCCAGAGTGTAAGCTAAAGACAGAAATCTCTGGCACATGCTAACATTTTTGTTGACACATCTACAATAAGGAAAACATTAAACAAGAATGGAATACATGGGAGGACACCACGGAGGAAGCCATTGCCATGAGTTTATCAAGACATTTTGCAGGAAAACGTACGACCATCTGTTTGCCAACTGAAGCTCCGCAGAGGATGGGTGATGCAACAGGACAATGACCCAAAGCATACAAGTAATTCAACAAAACAATGGCTCTAGGTCTGAAGAAGGAGCCTATTAAGCATGCTCCGAAATACATTACCGCCCCTTTCACCTGCTACATCTGACTCTGCTCTCCAAGCTTCATTTTTGATGCACAGGCACATCCTGGACTCTATTTTCTGATCCTACAGGCATAGCTTGCTGCTGGATGGCTGGATGTCCCACCTGGATCCAATTACCACACGATGAGTCTTTTAACCGTTTATCTTGTAAGTGCAAATCTCTCTTTTTCTTGTTACTGCATTAGAGCCTTGCTTCCACTCTAAGAAGAGCTGCCTCAGTGTTACTGCTTCCATCCATCCATCCCTGACATCCATCTGGCACCTTTATCTTACAGCTACAGAGGTTGGGCTCAAACAAGCACGCCCTATATAATATACATTTCCAACAACACAGAATACGCCTTCTGGAGTGGCCCAGTCAGAGTCCTGACCTCAACCCGATTGAAATGCTGTGGCATGACCTTAAGAAAGCGATTCACACCAGACATCCCAAGAATATTGCTACACTGAAACAGTTTTGTGAAGAGAAGTGGTCCAAAATTACTCCAGATCGTTGTGCAGGTCTGATCTGCAACTACAGGAAACGTTTGGTTGAGATTATTGCTGCCAAAGGAGGGTCAACCAGTTATTAAGTCCAAAGGTTCACATACTTTTTCCTCCCTGCACTGTGAATGTTTACATGTTATGTGCAATTAAACCATGGCAACATCTAATGTTTGTGTAGTATTATGTTCAGCAGACTGTGTTCTTCTTTTGTTGTGACTTAGATGATGTTCAGAGCACATTTTATGCCCAATCATGCAAAACTGCACGTAATCCCAAGGGGTTCACATACTTTTTCTTGCAACTGTGTGTGTATATATATATATATATATATATATATATATATACAGTTGCAAGAAAAAGTATGTGACCCCTTGGGATTACGTGGAGTTTTGCATGAATTGGGCATAAAATGTGCTCTGGAGGTCATCTAAGTCACAACAATAGAAGAACACACAGTCTGCTGAACATAATACTACACAAACATTAGATGTTGCCATGGTTTAATTGCACATAACATGTAAACATTCACAGTGCAGGGAGGAAAAAGTATGTGAACCTTTGACTTAATAACTGTTGACCCTCCTTTGCAATAACCTCAACCAAACGTTTCCTGTAGCTGCAGATCAGACCTGCACAACGATCTGGAGTAATTTTGGACCACTCCTCTTCACAAAACTGTTTCAGTGTAGCAATATTCTTTGGATGTCTGGTGTGAATCGCTCTCTTAAGGTCATGCCACAGCATTTCAATCGGGTTGAGGTCAGGGACTCTGACTGGGCCACTCCAGAAGGCGTATTCTGTGCGTGCTGTGCAGCCATTGTTTTGTTGAATTACTTGTATGCTTTGGGTTATTGTCCTGTTGCATCACCCATCCTCTGCAGAGCTTCAGTTGGCGGACAGATGGTCGTACGTTTTCCTGCAAAATGTCTTGATAAACTCTGGAATTCATTTTTCCCATCAATGACAACAATCCGTCCAGGCCCTGAGGCAGCAAAGCAGCCCCAAACCATGATGCTCCCTCCGCCATGTTTTACAGTGGGGATGAGGTTTTGATGTTGGTGTGCTGTGCCTTTTTTTCTCCACACATAGTGTTGTGTGTTCTTCCCAAACAACTCAATCTTGGTTTCATCTGTCCACAGTATATTTTGCCAGTAGTGCTGTGGAACATCCAGTTGCTCTTTTGCAAACTTCAAACAGTGCTGCAATATTCTTTTTGGACAGCAATGGCTTCCTCCGTGGTGTCCTCCCATGTACTCCATTCTTGTTTAATGTTTTCCTTATTGTAGATGTGTCAACAAAAAATGTTAGCATGTGCCAGAGATTTCTGTAGGTCTTTAGCTGACACTCTGGGATTCTTCTTTACCTCATGCAGCATTCTGCGCTGTGCTCTTGCAGTCATTTTTACAGGACGACCAAGCCTAGGGAGAGTAGCAACAGTGCTAAACTTTCTCCATTTGTAGACAGTCTGTCTTACCGTGGACACATGAAACATCAAGGCTTTTTGAGATACTTTTGTAACCCTTTCCAGCTTCATGCAAGTCAACAATTCTTGATCGTTGGTCTTCTGAGAGCTCTTTTCTGCGAGGTATGACAGTGCTTCTTGAAACCAGTAAACCCAAAACAAGTGTGTGTTTTTTAAGGGCAGGACAGCTGTCAGCAACACATCCAATATCATCACACTGATTGGAGTCAAGGTTGGCTCACTCCTGGCTCCAATTAGCTCTGGGAGAAGTCATTAAGCTAGGGCCTCACATACTTTTTCCTCCCTGCACTGTGAATGTTTACATGTTATGTGCAATTAAACCATGGCAACATCTAATGTTTGTGTTAGTATTATGTTCAGCAGACTGTGTTCTTATTGTTGTTACTTAGATGACGTTCAGAGCACATTTTATGCCCAATTCATGCAAAACTCTACATAATCCCAAGGGGTTCACATACTTTTTCTTGCAACTGTATATATATATATATACACCACACACACATACATTTTTCATTTTTTTTTTTTTTTCATGACTTACCTGGTGATGTAATTGCCTATTGATGCCCAGAAGGGGACAATCATAACTCCAATGACAGTTGCTGATGGGACGAGGGTGTAGTATCTCTCCCAGTAATTGGTGGAGACAAACAAGGCATAGATCCCAGAGGAGAGGAACAGCATCCACTTTGTACCAAAAAATCTGAGTCAGAGAAGAAGATGTCATCAAGTCAAGAAGTATCATCCTGTTTTCTTGTCTAGTTAATATGCGGTATCAGTTTTATCATCATAGTCATCAACATTTTAATCAGTTACATGATTTCTGAATGTTTACCTAATTCCGGTGGTATTTGGGGACTTGATACGGTAAAGTCTAGTACACACGATCAGAAAATGATACGAAAGATACCGCCTTTGAAGCGATCGTACGATAATCTGATCATTAGTACACACTTTCATCTGAGATTATTTGAATGGACAAGCACAAAATTTTTCTTGTACGATTTTTGTTAAATCAGTACAGTTTTTGGCCAAAAATACATTACATCACTTTCGAATTTTCTTTCTGTCATACAAGAATTTTATTAATTTTAGTAACCTCTTCACTTTCGATACGAGACTAGCAGGCAAAAAGAAAAAAAAGGACGATCCTTCGTCCAATATTCTCATCGTGTGTACAGGGCTTAAAGGTGGGAATACACGATTGGAAAATCAACTGATCGGTCATCCGACGACAGAGAGGCGTTCATTCGTTGGTTGAAATCGTGGCCCACATTAACCAATCTAAAAAAATTGTTCGTTGAGCAATACGTACTGTTGACATCTTCCGTACAAGTGGAAGTGATGCGGTGTGCGTGTGACCTTGTAGCCACGCCCTTCCGGCCAGAACGAGCGATATACACAACAATTACCAGCAATGAGTATAATATAGTTTATTACATGACCTATATACATAAATAGTGATACATAAAATATTATATGCAGAATTCTGCTTTCATTATCTCATTAGGCCGATCTACTTTTAACATTTGGATTTTTTGTTTGTGTTTACGAAGATTCCTTGGACATAAACATAAGGGTCATCTTCTGTTTCCGCTCATGCATGATAGCACTTGATAGATTTTTTTCGTACGACCGTCATACCACCACATAGATAATCGGTCGTTTGTATGTAAAACGACAACATTTTTCACTGTTGTTCAACTGGATTTTTTTGTTCACAGTATCGTTATCGGTTAAAACATCCTGCTCATCAATGAAGAGAAAATCGTTCGATCAGTGGTTCCGCAAAATTTTTCAGACAATTTTTTTACCGTGTATACGGGGCATAAGTCTGGCTGAAAAAAGACACAAGTCTATCAAGTTCAACCAATAAAGGGGGGGAAAAAAAAAAAAAGGCGAAATCTAGTAATTGCATGAATCCACTCAGTGAAATAGCAACTTACAGTAGCCATTTTTTGTAATGTGATCAACCAAAATCTAAGAAAATTATCAAAGTACTGATACTTTTTGAAGTGTCGGAACCTCTGACTTCCAGGCTGCTTGCAGCCATGTCTACCCCTTGCCCCTGGGCTGTCCCAATGTTACTGCTGTAAGTAAATAAAATCTCAAGACCGAAGGTGAAAGATGGTGCATAGTATACACTGACCTCAAATGTTTACAATGCAGTATATTGCACCCCCCCATTGTTAGGATATTTCTACTTTTTACCGTAACATATTGATGATGTAGGGGCCAGGAGAAGACTTTGCTGATGGTATCTTCAGGTTTGCATTGGGACCAGTCTTTTCCTATAGGCCAATCCGCCAGAACATTGGAGCATTCATAGCAATGGCGAAACCATACAGGTACAAAACTCCCAGCGGAGGTGCTGAGCCAGTCAACAGTAAATGGCTTCAAACATGCTTGGGACAAATAAAGATCTATACTCAGACAAAAAAGTTCAAGAAAAATAAATAAATAACCCGGCAGTCTCAGTGGACCACTCGGTCTTTTTTCTGCCATCATGTTTCTGTGTTTCTAAGTCCAGACAGGTAACAGAATCATTAAACAAAAAATCACCAGCGCTAAAAGATGTGAAATAATTCCCAAAAAATGCTGCTGCTCCTTAGTGATAACACTAATAAAATAACAAAAAAATAAAAACAATGCAAATAAATATTCAATAAATAACTAAAAAAAAAAATCAAAATACAAAAAAAATCATACAGAGAAAATTAATAAAATTGTTGAATAGTCCAACTCCAAAAAAATATATATTTTTGGAGTGGGACGATTCAACAATTTTATTAATTTTCTCTGTATGATTTTTTGTATTTTGATTTTTTTTAGTTATTTATTTAATATTTATTTGCGCTGTTTTTATGTTTTCTATTATTTAGGTAACAGAATCAGTTGTTTTGAGGGCTACATTTCCAAAAGTAGAATTGTCTAACTTCCATGTTCCACCCCACTATGAAAGGCAGGAAAGTTGTTGGCGAACCATACATCTACCCAGATTTTAGAAAGGAAAGTCTATCTCGATGTAAATTACTTGAGAAACTTCTACTAACCTGATAAGTACAGGGGTATACAGTAGAGCGGCTATTGGGGTTACATTAATGCCCATCAGCATCTTGTTATCGATGTCCTGCAGACCAATATTACCATATTTCACATCTCTGTAGGTCTCATCGTAATGTAAAATCAGCTGCATCTGCAGGAGACCTGAAATGCACAATGTCAAAAGGCCATATCAGAAGAATAAAACACCTTATAATAAAAAAAATCAGAGGCGCTTAGAGAACAGAAGCTATTTGAGGGATGGATGAGCACACAAGCCCTACTCAGACCTCACCTCAGCACAAGGCATTCACTTTAAAATGGTCACAAACATCACAGGACAATGATGTCCAGTTGGACGTTCTGAAGATGACTTTATGTCAGGGGCGTTCCACCTTTGGAAGAGCGAGGGCCACTTAAAGCATTTTGTAGCCAGTCGCGAGCCACAATGAAATGAAATGGTTCAGAATTTCACATTTTTCTATTTTGAATAGCATAATGAGCATTATCCTCTTGCAGGAGCTGAATTCCGGCGGGGAGGGAGAGGATGAGAATCTGTAATTCAGCGGTTGCAGGAGGAAATTGGAGAGGATAGGTTCCTGTATATGCTGCCCACCACCACCCCTCTTGTCCAAGTGTAAAACAGACTGTGATAGGGAGGCCGTCTGGACCCTCAACTATGGGACTTTGCAGCCCCCAAACCGGAAATGTAACCCAGCCATTACTGTCCTGAGCCCTCTATAAGACTCCTTCCACACTAATGCACTGCGGTTTACCCACACCATGGGGGCAGTGCAGAGCACCTGCGGCTTTCCTGCGGGTTAGCTGGAATTTGCCATAGATGTCTATTATATCTTGCAGGTGTGGTGCACTTTCTGAAAGTGCACCAAAACTCCTGCACTCAGGAGTTTTGGTGCACTTTCAGAAAGTGCACAAACTTGTAGGATATAAAAGAAGTGGTTTGAGGTTGAGGGCCATATCAGAGTGCTCCAAGGGCCACAGGTTGCCCACGGGCCACAGAATGAGCACTCCTGCTTTATATCTAGCTTCAGGCATTAACATTCCACTCACCTTATTCTTCCTGTTAATGCTTTGAGGTGGGTTTGGAAGGCTGAAAGGTGCCTACAGACACTTTTGGGCCACCGAATAACTGGTCTTGATGCAAGGATCAGTTATCATTGTGTTTGTTGAGAGTAGGGAAGCAGCAAGCTCTGGATGGTCATGATGGAAACCATAGTGAAAGGCTTGGTGAATTCAACCTCGATGATTGATTTCGGACAGGCTCTGTTTCCAGCTACTGTATGTCTCATAATGAGCCATGCTAATACCACCTATCTCACTGTAATTCTACCAGACAGATCTGTGTTACTAACAGACCTTCTAAAGTTGACCATGATTGGTAGCCAGAGACCCCACAATTTATCCATGTGTCCTATTGGTTCATGTGAAGTACAAATTTTTATGAAAGGACCAAGTGCCAGATCCCTGACTTCCATGGCATCAGTGGCACATCTTGGTCAAGAACACGCCATCAGGCTACTGACTGCACAATGAAGAGGTAACAGCACACTGGTTGGCTGCTAGTGTTGGTTCTTCTTCATGTAGTCTACTGCTGTGAGGAGGACCATAGGAAGCTGATATTCAGCAATTCCATATACTTAGACTAGTTGCTGTAAAATAATAACATTTTATTGATATTAGATGGAGTCTGATATCTGCCAGGAGGTCGACTTTACGTTACTGCAGGCTTCATGAGGGTCTTCTTGTTGCCTATAGAATTCAAATGATCCCATTTATTCTCTCCCGATATCATAATTAAAGGGAGAATCTGATTGGTTTTAATGGATAACAAAGAACCCCAGATAACGTACCTAAATACACGCCGTATGTTATGGCAGCGGCCAGGCTTGCAAAAATAACACTCTTTATGGTCAAAAGTTTTTTCCGGCGATAGTATCTCCTCTCTTCTGCTTCCTCATCATAATCCGCTTTGTCATCCAAGAACTCCTTCACCTGTATGACAATAAAAATATGTCTCAGGATAATATAAAGAACACCGAAAAGGCACAGAAGAAGTCTAAGGCCCCATGTACATGGGACACTTCTGAACGATGGAAACTGACTGCTGGAAAACGTAGGTTAAAAAACATCTGTTTTGCCGCATTTATGTGCATTTGCGTTTATAAGAGTTTTTAAAGATAAGCACAGGAGAACCTCCCAAATGCCCAGAATGCACTGAAAAGTGGTAAATTATTAACAATTTTAGACTCTTACAGAGAAATACAGAGAGTAGAAGCAGAGACAGCAGTATGTGTTGAGATAATTAGGTGGGAGTTGCTCATTAACATTTCTTTTGTTTCCAAGGGTGGGAAAGGTGTCTGGTGGAGGGAGCCATTAAGGCCACCTGGCAAGGGGTCTTCATGAGGAATTTGAGGTGTGAATGGTCAATGACATATCTTTTGTTTCCAAGGGTGGGAGAGGTCTGCGGTGTGAATGGTCATTAACATATCTTTTGCTTCCAAGGGTGGGAGAGGTCTGAGGTGTGAATTGGTCATTACAATGTGTGACAAGCTTGGTAGAAACATCCTGTGTTCAGTGTTTTGTCCATCTGAGTACCATATTTTCCGGCGTATAAGACGAGCCCCTACTTTTCCTGTTAAAATATAGGGTTTGGGCTATATTCGCTGTATAAGACTACCCCTCTTCCAACATACACCAAATAAAAATTAAAAAACATCAGATTTGATTTCAATATGGTATAGTATTTCAGTATGGTATTCCAATGATGGGGTGCTATTCCTCCCACTGACACCAATGATGGGGCACGATTCCTCACTCTGACACCAATGATGGGGCACTATTCCTCCCACTGATACCAATGATGGGACACTATTCCTCCCACTGACACCAATGATGGTGCCCCATCATTAGTGTCAGTGTGTGAGGAATAGTGTCCCATCATTGGTGTCAGTGGGAGGAATAGTGGCCCATCATTGGTGTCAGTGGGAGGAATAGTGCCCCATCATTGGTGTCAGTGGGAAGAATCGTGCCCCATCATTGGTGTCAGTGGGAGGAATAGCACCCCATCATTGGTGTCAGTGAGAGGAATAGCGCCCCATCATTGGTATCAGTGGGAATTGCGCCCCATCATTGGTATCAGTGGCAGGAATAGTGCCCTATCATTGGTATCAGTGGCAGGAAAAGTGCCCCATCATTGGTATCAGTAGGAGGAAAAAGTGCCCCATCATTGGTATCAGTGGGGGGAATAGTGCCCCATCTTTGGTGTCAGTGGGAGGAATAGTGCCCCATCATTGGTGTCAGTGGGAGGAATAGTACCCCGTCAGTGGGGGAAGGAATAGTGTTCCATCATTGGTGTCAGTGGGGGAAGGAATAGTGTTCCATCATTGGTGTCAGTGGGGGGAGGAATAGTGCCCCATCATTGGTGTCTGTGTGGGGGGAGGAATAGTGCCCCTTCATTGGTGTCAGTGGGGGGGGGAATAGTGCCCCATCATTGGTGTCAGTGGGGGGGGGGAATAGTGCCCCATCGTTGGTGTCAGTGGGGAGGAGAATAGTGCCTCATCGTTGGTGTCAGTGGGGGAGGAATAGTGCCCCATCGTTGGTGTCAGTGGGGGGGGGGGGAGGAATAGTGCCAATAGTGTTCCAGCATGGTGCTGCTGCACACTTAACGGCCGCTCTCTCACTCGATTTTCGCGGGGCGGCCCGGCTCCGCCTCCTCGCCGGTGATTGGCCGCCGGTGTGCCTTTCCTGAGCTACAGTTCTGGCGCCCAATCACCGGTGAGGAGGCGGCGGAGCCGAGCGGCTGTGCGGACATCGACGAACGGCCGAACAGAATGAAGGAGCAGCTGCGCTTCCTAGACCGGATCGTCGTGGGACCGGGACCGGAGCCAGGTAAGAAACAGCAGGCCCTGTACTTAGTGTCTCTTCCGTTGGAAGGGGGGGGCAGCACAGAGCTGCCCCCCGAAAAAGTGCCGCCCTGACACCAGCTCGCCGTATACCGGTGTATAAGACGACCCCCGACTTTTCAGAAGATTTTCATGGGTTAAAAAGTCGTCTTATACGATGGAAAATATGGTACCTTAAAAACGCTTTGCATGCATTTTTCATGATGAAAAAAGGCTCTGGACAGCATTGGGAACTGGAAGAGTTAAAAAAAAAAATTCAAACGCAAACGTAGATGCACCAAGGATACCCACATGGAAGAAAAATATATTTGAAATATATTTTAAAAATACTCTTCCCAAATATGTTGACATATATTTGAAATGCTACAATGTTGGCCCATATATATATATATATATATATATATATATATATATAAACTGCTTGTTGAAATGTGTTTTTATTACAAAATATTGAGAAATATTTTTAAAAATAGATTTCAAATATACTGTATGTCTTTAAAAATACAAATCTACATTTTTGACTTTTTTATATGTTAAAAAAAAATCTGAAGAATATATTTAATACAATGTATATTTTTAAAAATATTTTTCATATATTTTGTAATATATAAAAAACACATTTCAACATGCAGTATATATATATATATATATATCATTTTTATATATATATATATATATATATATATTTTTTTTTTCAAATATATTGAATATGGCCAAAATTTAAGCATTTCAAATATAGGTCAATATATTTGGGAAGAATATTTAAAAAATATATTTGAAATATATTTTTCTTCCATGTCATGCAGACATTGCTGGAGTTCATTTAGACATAAAGAGGCTACAGGAGATGTAACAGTGACTGAAAAAAAACTATATTTTTATTTGAAAAAAAAAATGCAGTTTGCAAGAAATTGATGGTCATTGCAATATTTAACCGAAATGCATAACTCTGTAACTGAAAAACATGCTGAAGGTGAACATTTCAGAGTTATAGGAGAGATCACCTTAAACAAGCAATATATGCCACACTCTTCATCTATAGCCAGGCCAAGCTTTTACAGAAGGAGGAAATTAATAATTTCTGCAAAACAGCCTGTGAAAAACCCAAAATGGCATGGTCTAACAATATGCATTAAAAACAGGGGTTTTTAGTTGCACACAATTTCAAATACACACTTTATT